TCTCTAGGAGCTCACAATCTTCAGTGAAAAAACACAAAAAGTACCAAAAAAAAAAAAGTTGCCTTCAACAACATACAACCCAGGCAAGATTTGTCCTAAGTTCTTTTGAGTTTGTATTAATTTTGGGCCTTGTAAATTAATTTTTTTTTAAATTTTCTCTCCAGTCCATCCTTCCCCACCCCCTCCCAAGCCCACTGGGGGAAAAAGAGGAAAAAATCCTTGTAACAAATATTTACAATCAAGCAAAACAAATTTCCTCATTGGCTGTGTTTAAATTCCTATAAATGATGATAGTGAAACAGTCAAAACAGTGACTACAAAGAAGTAACAATAGAATAAAAGACACATAGAACAACAAAAGGCACATAGGGGAGTCAGAAGACTTGGGTTCAAGTCCCAGCTGTCCTACTGACTGTGTGACCTTGGACAAGTTGATTTATTTCTCTGAGCCTCAGTTTTTTTTCACTTATACTTACTTCAATACTCTAAGGATCCATGATTTATGTCATCAGTGGCGATCAATCGAGAAGCATTTATTAAGCATTTACCATGTGCCAGGCACTATGCTATGCACTTTAGTTACAGAAAAAGGACAAGGGAGAGGCAACATGCAAATAAAGAACAATCTATTAACAGCAAAAATGGCAGGTGATCTCCAGGGGGAGGATACAGGCAGCTAGGGTGATGGGAAAAGCCTCCTGGCACTGAGCTGAGTCTTGAAGGAATCCAAGGAGATTAAGAGGAGAAGGTGAAGCAACAGGACATTCCAGCCAGCTAGATGTCTGATGCCATGATACAGAGACAAGAGATGGTGTTGTGTTCAAAGAACAGCGAGTAGGTCAATCCAACTGCATGGTAGAAAATGTGAAAGAAACTAAAAGTGTAAGATGGCTAAAGTAGGAAGAGACAGGTTGTGAAGAACTTTAAATGCCAAACAGAGAAATTTACATTTAATTCTAGAATAGGAAACCATTGGAATCTTTCACTGACATAGACACCGCTATACCTTGGAAGACAGTTTTCATGAGTTTATTTGGTCAAAAAACTGCGTACTCTGCAGGCAACCTTCTAGTAACAAGCCTCACTGAATTTATTTGGCACGGAAAGCACATGTGACTACATAGAGAGGCAATTGGTGTTTCTGAGAACGGTTAAAGACCTTAGCTTGAAAAGGCCAAGGTCCCCCACTGCATCCTGGGCCATCTCCAGTTGTCCTGATCCATATCTTGCCATTGGACCCAGATGGTTTCCGAGGTGAAAGTGAGGCTAGTGACTCTGCACAGCCCTCCCTCACTTAAATTTAATTCACTTGCATGTCATGGCATCACCTCCCTGATGTCATGGTCTTCTTAGAGAACGAAGGACAAACAGCAGCATCCTTGGGGTGTAACTGGAATAGCTCTTCAGAATATAGCATCTACCCAAGCCAAGAGGTGGTTGTCCAAGCCTGGGCTGCCCCAGTTTGCTCCCATTGCACGTGTGAGCATCACTTACGTCCCAGTTTTGAACAATTTCTTCACCTCCAACTGAACATGCTCAGTCCACAGCTCCCTAGATGTCTTTCCCCGACTCTATATAGGAATATGTGTAACAGTCTTAAATCTCTTGTGACTTAGTCCCTCACTGTATTGGAATTCTTCTCTCTTTCTTTGAACGCAGCTGATTATGAGCTGACTGCTGCTGACCTTACTAACTACCAGCTGACTAAAGCTTGCCTTGTCTGGTTCCCAGACTCATGAATTGCTTGAGGCTGACCAGATGTCACCCTCCCCTACGCGGTACCCCAAGCCTCTCTGGCTATTTTGTAAAATTCAATTCTATTCCCAAGCTTGGAACAGCTAGGTGTCAAAGTGGATAGAACATTGGGCCTGGAGTCAGAAAGACCTGAGTTTAGATCCAGCCTCTGAAACTTACTAGCTGTGTGACTCTGGGCAAGTTACTTAACCCTGTTTGCCTCAGTTCTTCATCTGTAAAATGAGCTGGATAAGGAAATGATCAAATCACTCTTTGCCAACAAAACCCCAAATGTAGTTACAAAAAGTCGGACACAACTAAAAAAAAAAACAAAACTGAACAATAAAAAAATGTTGCACAGGGAATTAACATCAACTCAGATGGCAACGTAATGTTTCCAAAGCAAAAGTCTGACCCTTAATATTCCCTTGCTCAACATAAGTCAGTGGTTGCCTATTCCCTTTATGATCAAATACAAACTTGTCTGTTTGGCGTTTAAAACCCTTCACAACCTGGCCACAGCCTAACTTTTCAGACTCATTAAACAATCCTCCCCTTGGTTCATCCTATAATCCAGCCTAATTGGCCTCCTTGCTGTCCCCCACACACATTTCACCCCAGTGCCTTTGCCCTGGCTGTGCCGGAGTGTACTCCTTTCTGGCCTCTGCTTCCTGAAATCCATTTCATTCAAAGCTCAGCTCAAACACTACCTCCTCTAGCCTTTCCTAATCCTTCTGTATTGCTAGTGCTTTTCACAGTCACCTCACTTTAAAAATATGCTTATATGTGTGTGTTGTCTCCCACAACAGAATGCAAGCTTCCTGAGGGCAAGGACTGTTTCATTTTTGTCTTTGTATCCCCAGTGCTTAGCACAGTGCCTAGGGCACTTTTAAATGTTTTTGAATTGATTGGTTTCCAGATGTTCCACTATGTTGGCATGGACAGGCCTATCAAGTTCTCTGAACATCCTTGAGTACTTTGCAGGAAAGGTACTTTTAAAATTGACAAATCAACAAATCAACAAGTTAGACGGGCTGGGAAAACAATCTTGAAACAGTTACACACTTATCAGATCTTAACGGATCTAGGTTATTTTTAATTGCTCTGTACAAAAGTCGTTCCTCTTCCCTAGACCTTGAGTTTGATACTTTGAACAGAGAAATTATGCCATTTCATCAGAACCAAAATTGGATTCTCCTGCCTGAAGACAGCTTATTGCAGACCCAAGCAAAAGTTGGTGACATAAAGAACCAGCAATATCACTTTGATTACCAGGAGGTCAAGAGGAAGTGAAAGGTAATTAGTTACACAATCATAATCTCAGAATGGAAAGGACCTCAGAGGTCACAGAATTCAATTTATACTTGTATGAGAATTTCCTCTATAATAGTGCTGTCAAACTCAAATAGAAACCATCCCTGAAGCCAGGAGCAGACTTAGAAAACCACAAATTAACATTATCTATGTTGTATTGTATTTTTATTTATTTTGTTACCCATTTCCCAATTACATTTTAATCTAGTTCAGGCAGCATTTGAGAGTTTTGCTAATGGGGAGTTTGACACTTTTGCTCTATAACACCTCTCAAAAGAAGTCATTCAGCTTTTACTATTGTTCAGTGTTTTAGTCATATCCAACTCTTTATGACCCCATTTGGAATTTTCTTTGCAAAGACACTGCAGTGGTTTGCTATATCTCCAGCTCATTTTACAGATGAGGAAACTGAGGCAAACAAGATAAAGTGACTTGCCCTAGGTCATACAGCTAGTAAGCTTCTGAGGCTGGATTTGAACTCAGGTCTTTCTGACTCCAGGCCCAGTGCTCTATCCACTTTCACACCTAGCTGTCCCTCACCTTTTACTAGAAGACCCCTAAGTAAAGGAAAACCTACTACCTCCAAGGCATTAAGGAAGTACAGTGACTTGAGTTTTGTTTACTGATAGGATATAAGTAGACTGCTTGAATCACCTTTTTAAATTCAAAGGGTCACAGAATGTTAGAACTGGAAGATACCCCAGAGATCAAGTTCAGTCTCCTCATTTTGTAGATAAGGAAACTGAGGCCCTCAAAGAGTGTTCCACCCAAAGTTACAAAGTGAGTTAATGATGGAGCTGGAACTTTAAATCTCCTGACTTCTAGCCCAGGTTGATTTCTGCTGTCACAAATAATTCCAATTCTATCTTCTCCTAAATAAGTTTAAAACATTTCTGTGATCATAAAATATGCTTTTAATAATCTAGGAAACTTTTAATTTATCTAAATGTTTCATCAGGCTTGTAGAAATATAGTACAGAGAAAATGATTATGCTTTGTAAGTCCACAGGCAAAGCAGCATGCAAATGATCTTTTGCCTGACTACAAAAAGCAAATGGGCAGCCTTTCAGAGTCAGCCCCCAACTTTGGACTTATGTATTATAAGAAGGCTAAGGTTATATCCACATATACTGGCACCTGAAGTCTGCACTGAATTCTGACATATGCCAGTATATCACATTGTGCAATGATGCTTTTATAGACCAAGAGCTTGAATGCTGACTCAAGGAAGCTCACTAGTTCTTACGACATATCAGAACCAATTTCAGACCAACCAGAAGAGTACGGAAGAACCTAATCTATATTATTAACAATAACAGAGTGTATTATTAATTAATATTATAATAATATCGTAATCAATGTTGATGATAAGAATAACATTCTCATATGACTGAAGTGTTAATTATAGGTTGTTAATAATAATGAAAGAATGAAGCATTTATTAAACACTATGTGCAAAGCACTGTGCTAGGCAATACAAATAGAAAAGCAAGACAGTGTCTGCCCTCAAGGAGCTCATGTTCCTCTGGGACAGACAATACTTATGGAAGGTTTCAAGCTGTAAGTCAGATGGCAAAGTCCTATGGTCCTGAGTGTATATTGACGAAACAGATGGTAATGCCTCTTCTTTAATGCCATTTCTGTTGATAAAACCATATTAGTTTCTGATATTGAACCTTTTGACAGTGCCAAGGACTTGGGTGGCAAGAACTTTTTTTTCTGGGTCTTCAGTAGCTGTGGCTGTAGGAGCAGTCACCAGGCTGCATCTGTACAGGGGTCACTTCCCAGGAAGGCTATGGGCATCACACTGGGCAGGAAGAGCTGCTATTCCTTTTTTTTTTTTTGGTTAGGCAATGGGGTTAAGTGACTTGCCCAGGGTCACCCAGTTAGTGAGTGTTATATGTCTAAGGCCGGATTTGAACTCAGGTCCTTCTGAATCCCAGGCCAGTGCTCTAACCACTGTGCCACCTAGCTGCCCCTTTTCCTTCTTCTTCTTTTTTTAAAGAGCTGCTATTCCCAAGGCTTTTGGGTTCTGGGCCTGGAGCTGCCTTCAGGGGTCTCAGAAGAGATGGTAGCCAAAGTGATGGTAGGGGTCCAACTTGCACGGCACATGTTGCTTCCTGTCTCTCCTTCAGGGTGTTCTGCTGCATCAGCTCCACTGACTTCCCTGCCTTGTATATGGCAGTTGGCAAGGATTATCGGCTCCTTCTCCACGGGAGTTGCTTCCTTGGACTGGCAGGAAGTAGCTGTCACTTCCAGACAGGGATATACTGGCAAATGTTTAACAACCAGATTTCATACACATACATATACACATACATGTATATACATATACATGCAATACCCATATGTGTATATATTCATATATGGCCACAATACACTTTTAAGTCTTATCTGCATTGTTGATATTTTCTCCATCACTTTCTTAAATCTAGACAATCAATGAAAACAATAAATCAAGTCCTGATTTGCAGCATTTGCCAATTTCTGAAGTATAAAATGCTCGTACTGAAAATATAACAATTAGCTCTCCCAACCTAGTTTTAGCTAACTCCAGCACACCCCTATCGGGGCTCCTGCTTCTGCCCTAGAATGTGGCAAATTACCAATGTAATTCCATTTCTATTAATCAACAAGCATTTACTGAGTACTTAACTGTGGGCCAGTAGAGAGGTAGTATGGTACCTAGACAGAATGCTAAACTTGGAGACAGAAAAACCTGGGTTTGAATCCTGCCTCAGATACTTACACATTCCCGTGGGCAAGTCACTTAACCCTTCTGAGCCTCAGAAATGGGCTGCAATCTTTGCTGGTGAGGGGAGTTCCCACACTGACAAAACTCATAGATCTTTAATGCCAGTATCATTTGACCATACTTTAGTGGATCCGTGGTTTCACCGCCGCAAGCACTCCCTCCTCAAGTGCAGATAGCAGGCAACTCATTGGATACAATTCTCTTTCACAAAATCCTCCATAGTATAAAGAATACACCCAACATACTGGAGACCTTATTCTGGTTCTTTCAATATTTTGCGTGGTACCAGTACAACACTGCAACAGTAATAATAAAATAATAAATAGATAATGAATAAAAAGTAATAATAACAATAATAATGATAAAAATAACAATAGTAACAACAACAATAATAGTAGCTGGCATTATACAGCACTTTAAGGTTTGCAAAGTGCTTTGCAATTATCTCATTTGATCCTCACAACAACCCTGGGAAGTAGGTGCTATTCTTAAATTACAGTTGAGGAATTTGAGGCAAGCAGAAGTACAGTGACTTGCCTACGGTCACGTAGCTAATAAGTGTTGAAGGCCAGATTTTAATCACTCAGGCCCAGCCCTCTATTCTCTTCACCACCCAGCTGCTGCTGGCTCTGTGACTAGCCCACCACCCTTTCCAGTCATACCTGTTTTCGATGATATCCTTTATGTCGTGGACCAGTCATTATTGTTACTAGATGACGGTTTACTTAGGTCTGACCATAGTAAATCCTGAACAGCGACAGAGGTGCGATAACAATGAGCTCCTTGAAGCTGTTGCTCTGCCAGCTGTGTTGACACTTGTTGCAACACATTTTGGATGAGCAGAATGTTCCTTATTCATCAGATGTTTATTGAATGCTAGCTGAATGCAGAACACAGGGGTAGGTGCTGAGAGGGACACAAAAGAAGTATAAGACATGATCTCTGTCCTCAAAGAGATTAGGAGCCAGATGGAAGGTAGCACACCTTACATGGCCTCTATTTTTCCCCCTTCAATTTCCCACGGAGCCCCACATTCAGCCTGCCCACCTGCCCCCTCTGACTTTGCCCCTGCATTAGCTCCAATTCAGCTCACCCCATCCCCCCCATTCCCCCTCTTCACTCTTGAGTCCTCCCAGGGTGCCCCACTACCCCATCGAGGCCTCCGACTTCTGTCTTCAGCCTTCTCTAGTCAGTTCTCGGACCAGACCCAACTTGCATTGCCAACTCCTGCCTTGTGTCTGGACTCCCAAGGCTACACCTTTGCCTGCTTCTGCCTGTCATGAGGTGGGTCTCCTGGGCCTAACGAGACTCATCCTCACCACCTGCCACAAGGTTGGACATCTAGGGAGGGTCCCGAACAATCACCTAATGGCACAATGTTCTGCACACAGCTGGCATTCAATAAACATCTGATGAATAAGAAACATTCTGCCCAACCAAAATGTGTTGCAACCAGTGTTGTCACTACTAATCTTCCAGTAACTGATAATCTTCCTGACCTCATTCCTCAATAGTTAGCAGCATCTCAGCCCATTGTAGTTTATCCATCCCAGTGATTCAGAACCCCCAGCCATCATTGTACAAATCCCATTCTCCATTGCCCATTCTCTTACTCCCATCCTCCTCAATCCTCCTCCACCCCTCAATCTACCTTCCTCTTCCACAGGTCTTGTGCTCTTTAGAAAGCCTGCTCCATAGTGAACAGAGAAATCTTAAACTTTCTCCTTTCTCACACCTTCCATCTTCTTGCACTCACTGAGACTTTTCTGAGAACTTGGTCTCCCTGGCCACCTCTTCCAGCACTGGTTGCACTTTCACACATACCTTCCCTCTCCCCTCACTAGTCATGGGGTAGGGATGGGGAGTATAATTCTCTTTATTCTGAATCGCCACTTCCAGGGTCTCCCTCTACCACCACCACTCAGTCACCTTTCTTACTTTGAGATTCATTCAATCCATATTTATCACCCAATCAAGACTGGAGAAGCTATTGTCTACCCACTCCCAAGACCCTCCCCTTTCTTACTCAATTAGTCCAGTGCTCAGCTCATAGTCTTTCTTCCCTCCCCAGCTCCCACTCTCATACTTGGGGACTTAATACACATCGATACTCCCTCGAACACTCTAACTTCCCAGTTCCTCAATCTGCTAATTTCCCATGAAATTAATCCTCCACTCTACGTCAGCTACCCACACAGATGGTCATATCCTTGATCTTGCCAACACTTACAGGTATTTCATTTCCATGTTTATCAACTGAAATCCCTTTACCTAGTCACAATCTTTTATCATTCCATCTTTCCCTCTTCCTTAGAACCCTCAACCCTGTCTTTCATTTTCACCATATCCTCCAATCCCTTTACCCAACATTCTCCTTCTTTCTCTATCTTGATGCCTTGGTGAACACTGTCCTCTGCACTCAAGTCCATTGCTGCTTTATCCTATACTGGTAATTCCTTGCCATCTGATAATTCCTTGTGAAGCCCTATCCTTGGATTACTCCTGCCACCTGTTGCCTTTGCAAAAGTATTCATGTGCTTCAGGAGCATGTGAGGCTGGAATAAATTAGGAAATTGTGCTCACTGAGTTCACTACAAATTTATGTTACAAAATTTCAACTGGGCTTTTACTTAGGCAAGACAGTTCTTTTATACCTCCCTAATTGATTCACTTCCTTACCACATCTTTCCCAATTTTTTTCATCCCTCCTTAAACCTTCTCTTTACTCCCTGTTCCCAGACCTTCTCAGTTGAGGACCTTGCTTCATAGTTCGCTGAAAAAAATTGAGTCCATTTCTTCAGAGTTCCCTCTCCTCCCCTCCTCTTTATATCACATTACTCAGATGCCTTCACTATCTGCTTCAGGCTTGTTTTGAATAAAGAGGCGATTCTTCTCCTTGATAAGGCAAACTCCTCTACATGCACAAGTGATTCAATTCCATCCCATTTTCTTCAGCAGATTATTCCTTCTATCATCCCCCTCTCTCACTAATCCCTAATCTCTCCATCTACTAGCTACTTCTCTGCTGGCTATCATATGCTTCTCTTTTTGCCTTCAATCTTTCCCAACATCAGAGTCTTTTCAACGAGTCCTGTCTTCTCATTATGTGGCCAAAGTATTTAAGCTTCAGCTTCAGTTTTGTCCTTCCAATGAAGAGTCTGAATTAATTTCTCTAAGTATTAAATTATTTGATCTCCTTCCTGTCCAAGGAAGTCTTAAAAGTCTTCTCCAGGACCACAATTCAAAAGCATCTATTCTGTGACTCTCAGCTTTCCTTATAGTCCAACTCTTACAGTCATACATTGCCACTGGAAAAACCAGAGCTTTGTCTATATGGACCTTTGTCAACAAAGTGATATCTCTGCTTTTTAGCATACTGTCCAGATTTGCCACAGCTTTCCTTCCAAGGAGCAAGTGTCTTTTAATTTCACGGTTGCAGTGAGCCTGAGAATATAAAATCTGACACTTCCATTTCTTCTACTCTCTATTTGACAGGAAGTGATAGAACCAGTTGCAATGATCTTAGGGTTTGTTTTGTTTTTTGTTTTTTTTGGAGGCAATCAGGATTAAGTGAGTTGCTGAGGGTCGCACAGCTAATACATGTCTGAGACCGGATTTGAACTCGGGTCCTCCTAACTTCAGGGCTGGTGTTCTATCCACTGTGCCACCATGCTGCCCCATCTTAGTTTTTTTTTTTTTTAATGTTAAGCTTCAAGCCATTCATGGCCACACTAATTTTTCTTATTCATTAATCTGATCATGTCACTCTCCTACTTTTCCCCTTGAATATGCCCTGAGTTTTCCTGAATTTCCTCATGTTCTTCACTATTTCTGGAACGTTCTCTCTACTCTTTTTCTGCCTATGGTGTAGGCCTGTGAGTCTTTAATACATGTTTGCCAAATTAAGTAGGTTGAAATGGAGCAATGTACTATTTGACGTACAAATATTTTGTTCTGATAGTGAGTCTAGGACCCAGTCTAGGACCCAGTCTAGGACCCAGAATTCCAAACTGCCTATAGCTGCAGAGAGTTACAGTTACAAACCAAAAACATCTTTACTTGCTCCAATCAGAGAAAATACTTATTTTGATACATAGCCCTCATTTAGTCATATCTACATAATCAGTCATTAGAAATTCTGCATCCTATATTTCTCTAGTGTGTCACATCTCTATTGGTCTGTTTCCTCAGGTGAAAAATGAGGATAATGATCATTAGGGAGTCTAAGATATCCTCCAACCATCATCTTTTACTCTCAAATATCCTCAAAGAGGAAGATTCCATAATCTTCCTTGGTCAGCCTTTATATTACCTACCCTGATATAAGAAAACAAATGTGATAAAGTCCACAGTGCACTATAAATTCTACAGAGAAAAGTACAATATACACATAAATTATTAATACCTTATAATGACTGAAATAGATAAATGTTATAGCCTTGGATTAAATATATCTCAAAGCAATTAGATTTTCATTTCCTAGGGTAAGAAAGTGAGGACACATGCCAGTCTCTGGAGACAGGAAACAGATACACTAAGAAAGATATTTTTCTAATCAGCAATAAATGAAACGATAAATAATAGGGAAGGGCTGTAGATCAGAACATTCTCGGATGATAAAACATAAGAAAAGAGGTGGAGGGAGCTTTTGTACCTTGAGAAGACAAACTATCAAACTCCCATAAATCTGTAACAAGCCCTTAGTGGATAGGGCATTGGACTTGGAGACAGTATGACCTAGGTTCACATTTCACCTCAGACATTTCCTAGCTGTGTGATCCTGAACAAGTCATTTAACTTGTTCCTTAGTTTCCTCATATGTAGAATAATGTGGTTAGATTTGATGACCTCTGGAGTCTCTTCCAGCTCTAAATCTATAATCTTTTCTTTTTTTTTTTAAGGCAATTGGGATTAAGCGACTTGCCCAAGGTCACACAGCTAGTAAGTGTCAAGTGTTTGGTCTGAAGCTGGATTTGAACTCAGGTCCTCCTGACTTCAGGGCTGGTGCTCTATCCACTGCACCACCTAGCTGCCCCTCTAAATCTATAATCTTAAAATCAGCCAAACTCCTAAGAAATCCGTGTACACTTCCTACCTTCATTTTCTTTCAGTTTACAACCATTTGCAATCTGGCTTCTGATTTCGTTATTCAACTGAAACTGTTCTAAAGTTACCAATGATCTCTTAATTGATAAACTTGATATTTTTTCCTCAGTCCTCAACCTCTACTTCATTTAATGATTAACTACTTTCTCTTTCTGGATACTCCTTTCTCTAAATTGTCATGACACTATTTTCTCTTCTTCCTCCTATTTGCTCCCTCTAGTTTTCTTTGCAGGGTTGCCATCTCTATCATGCACACTAGCTTTGTTTCTCAAGGCTCTCCCCTGAACCTTCTTCTCTCGGTGATTTCATCTGTTCCCATGAATTTAACGATATTTATATAGTTTCTTGCCTGAGCTTCAGTCCCATATCAGCAACTGCTTATTAAAACATCTCAAAGAGAATGTCCTCTAGGTATCTCAAGCTTAACATGCCCAAAAGAGAACTCGCTATCTCTTCCCTCAAGTCCATCCTTCTTCGGAACTTTCCTATTTTTGTATTCTTCCCATCTTCCAGGCTCATAATCTGTGTCATCCTCAACTCCTCAGTCTCTCTAGCCTCATGTTTCCAATCAGTTGCACATCTTGCCAGTTTTGCCTCTGCCTCTTTTATTTATCTTCCATTCTTGCTACTCATATAGCTATCATTTTAATTAAGACTGAAATCACTTCTCACGAAGATAGTTCTTCCTTTGTCTCCTTATTCATCCCTCCTCCTTACAGCTAAGTGGTTTTCCTTAAGTGTTGGTCTGACCATATCACTACCCTACTCAACAAACTCTTGCTGTTCCTTATTGCCTCTAGGGTCATGGCCCCAACTTGTCTTTCCAGCCTCCTTATACGTTGTTCCTCTTCCCAAGTCCAGCCAAACTGGCCTTCTTTTTCTCTGTTCTCGGGGGAACTTACCTTTCTGAGCCTTTTATTCCCTCCCATTCCTGGAATTCACTCCCTTCTCATCTCTACCTCATAAAATTCCCCTCTTCCTTCCAGACAAAGCTCAAGGACCACCCTCATCCCAACTGTTTAGTGCCCTCCCTAACTGCTCTGTATTTATTTTATATTTACTCTGTCTATATATGTGTACACATACACATACATACATAGTTTTCTCCCATAGAGTATAAGCTCCTAGGAGTAGGAATTACTTCTTTTTGGATTTGTACCCTGTGAGCCTAGCACAGCCCCTGGCATCAAGGGCACTCAAATGTTTTTTGGATGATCATTTGGGAGCCACTTCACAGCCCACAGATTCTAGCCAGGTAGACTTGACCCTAGGTGGATTCCCTCTTGAGGCATAATTCCTTCCACATAACTGAGGCATCTCTTGTCCAAGTCCTGGTAATGAGGAAGCAGCGCCATATGGTGCAAAGGACCCAGGACTTAGGGTTCAGGAGCCCTAGGGGCTAGAGCTGCCCCTCCACAGGCGACTGGCTTGGTTCCAGCTTTGCTCTATGAAGAAAATGTCTCATATGCTGGCCAGGATAAATACTGGGGGATGAAACGACCACAGGGCCGAGATGGGTCTTCCGACTCCAGGAGGGAATTCCCTTCAGAACTCAGGCTAGCTGAGTTACTCGGGTGACTTCCGGGTAAATGAAAGGACTGAACTCCACGGCCTTGGAGGCCTCTTCCAGCGGGAAGCCTCCGACACCGAGGAGCCTCCGCCTTCCCGGTCCTTGCTTCTCTCCCTCAGCTCCCCCCAGCCTGGGGAACTTGATTCTCAGTCTTTCCGGGTCCACCCTCAGCAGCCCCAAGTCGCTCCACAAGGGACCTCAGTGTTGGACTCGGCCTTGCCCTCTCTCTCTCCTCGTGGCCCCTCAAGCCCTCTAGTCCTCACACCGCCCTCGCAGCCCCCAGCAGCTGGCCGCATCCTCCCGCCGGGGGCTCCACAGCCGCTCTCGCGAGCATGCGCAGTGAAGCTGGGCGGGGGGCAGAGGGAGGGAGGAACTGAGCTCCTTGGCCCCGGCGCGCAGCTCTCGCGAGACTCTGGAGCGGGCTCTTCTCCGCCCCTTCCCTCCGCCTCCCTCCCCTCCAGCTGCAGCGTCAGCCTAGCTCGGCCCGGCCCCGGCCTAAGCGCCTTCGAGCGGCGGCTTCGGCTCCAGCTCTGGCGGCGGCCCCAGCTGGTCCTGGCCCTCGGCCCCAGCTTCCCGTGCGGGTCCGGCCTCTGCAGCCTCCGTGCGGCCCCTGCTTCCGCCGGCAGCCGCCTTCCCTGCTCCGTCCCGAAGGCCGCTACCCCAACCCCAGGCTCGCCTAGGCCGAAGGTCCCCGTGGGGCCGGGTCGGAGCCGGAGCCGGAGCCGGGCGGGTTCGGGCCGGAGCCGGGGGCGCCTCCTCCCTTATGGGCCCCGGCTAGAGGCGCTGCAGCCGCGCCCACCCCTGCCCCCGCCCCCCGCGCCCAGGGAAGCCCCGATGCTGGCCAAGAGGAAGCCGGTGCTGCCGGCGCTCAACATCACCCCGTCCGTCGCCGAGGGCCCGTCCCCGACCAGCGAGGGCGCGTCCGAGTGAGTTCCCGGGTCGGGCGGGGCCGCGAGGGGGGGCGGCTGGGGAGCCCTTTGCAGGTGAAGCGGCTGCGGCTCGCGGAGAGCGCGGGAGCGGCCCGACGTAACCCAGCCAGGAAGCGGCGGGGCCGGATTCGAGCCCTGTTCTTGGCCCACTTCAGAGGCGTGCATCCCACACCTGGAAAGGGATGGCGGGGCGGGCCTGGGAAGGGAGGGACCAGCAGCGAGGCGCGGAGCTGGGAGAGGCCATGTGTGTTAAATGGTCCTAAGGGGAGTAGGGAGTCAACTCCACAAGCAAAGGGGGCAAGCATTTATTATGCGCTTACTAGTTACTGAGGAGGGTGGCCGAAGAAAGGGGAAAGAATAGAAAGGGAGGGGTTCTGAAGGGGGCTGAGGTGGTTCTGGTGGAAAAGGAAAGGATAAATGTATAGGGCAACTTGGGGAAGAGGGGAAGGGGAGGTGGTGGTGAGTTTAGAGGTGGACAGACCTCAGGTCATCTGATCCAATCACCCCCTCATTTTACAGATGAGGAAACCGAGGTCCAGTGGTTTACTCAGGGTCACACAGGTAGTAGTGACAAAGTTGGGATTTGAACCCAGGTCCTTCCAGACTTCAAATCCAGTCCTGTTTCTCCGATATCATTTCATCCAAGCACCTTCCTCCCCATTTTCAATTTTATAAATGAGGAAACTGAGGCTCGGAGAAGTTATGACTATGCCCAAGGTCGCATCACAAGTAATAAATAGATAGTAGATCTTGGATTAGAACCCAGGTCTTCTGACTCCAAATCAAGGAATCTTTTCAATAGACTACTTTGTATAGAGGGGAAGGTGTACAGGGCTCGGGCAGAGAGGTGAGAGGAATTAAAGAAAAACAGATCTTAGGGGAAAAAATGAAAAGAAAGGTAAGGTAAAGGTAGGTTGGGGAAGGAAGAGAGAACATGAGTGGGAGATGTGAAGGTGGAGTAGCACTTTTTGAAGGTAGATGAAATCTGGGGACTCTGAAGGAAGACAAAAACAAAGGAAGATGTTTGAACAGTGAGTGGCAGATAATTATGGAATGTGGGTAGGGAGAGCTGCTCCTCAGACTTCTCACGATGAATTTGCAGCTCCAGGGAAAGTCACCAGGCTGGGCTACCTCCCAGGCAGTGAACAGTCAAGCCCTTCTCGTTCAGGTACTTTTGGAGCTGGACGATTCAGGCAGGTTTATGGTTTGGCCTGTGTGAATGAATGGGGTGTAGTGTGCAAAAGAGAAGGCTAGTCTGGGGCCACTTTCAAAGTACCAGCCCTTTTTTATGAACCCAGCCTCTTTGGACTTACCAAGGACAAAAGAGCATGCAGGAATATCATGAGTTATTTGAATTCTGTCATTACTGCTTTAATGGCAGAGATCCATTTGCTTCTGGTGTTTAATGTGAATGATAGTCTTACCTTGCTATTGGGAATATTGAGAACACCTCTCTACATATTTTCTTCCCTGGTCTTGGCCCTCTTATATTCTTTCCAAGTTTTAAACTAGAGAGGGGAATTGTAGTATAGTAGAAATAACACTAGACTTAAAGCCTGAAGATCTGAATTCAAAAACTTGGTCCACCACATATTAGTAGTATGATATTGGCAAGTCACTTACTGCTTTGAGCCCGTTTCTTCATCTGTAAAATGGGAATACTCCTATTTGTACTACCTATTTTGCAGGGCTGTTGTAAAGGTCAAGTGAAAGAAAATAGTTAAAATGCTTTGCAAACCTTAAACTGCTAGAGAAATGTCATCCATTATTATTAGTAGTAGTGGTAAGCCCTTGGAATCCCAAGGCTTTTTATAGCCTCTGTTGGCGCCTTTAGACAAGGAGTGGAATGATCTACACTTTCAGACGACTGACCAGTTTTTTTTTCCTGTCTCCCTTCTTTCCACCATGCCTTGGTGTGTAGAGCGAACCTGGCAGATCTGCAGAAAAAGTTAGAAGAGCTAGAACTCGATGAGCAGCAGAAGAAGCGGCTGGAAGCTTTCCTCACCCAGAAGGCAAAGGTGGGGGAGCTGAAGGATGATGACTTTGAGAGGATCTCCGAGCTGGGAGCTGGCAATGGCGGGGTGGTCACCAAAGTACAGCATAGACCCTCAGGGCTCATCATGGCCCGAAAGGTAAGCAGACTACTGGTCTCCACTAAAGCTAGGGAGAGCCCAGAGCCCAGAGAAGCTTCTCCTGTGTGTGTCCTTTGGAGATGCAGTTGATATAGTGTGATTTACTGATGTTCAGAGATTTTCTTTTATCCTTTGGTGCCAGGCAGTAGCATCTGATTCCATTGCTGGAAATGAGCACCTTCTTGTTGATAACAATTAGAAACTGGGTATGCAGACTTCCTTGTTTTGTGTAACTTTCCACATCTTGACTTCAGTACTCACCAGTTTTGTGACCCTTGGTCTCTCCTTTCTTCAAGCCCAAGTTTTCTCATCTGTAGAATGAGGATAATCTTACTTGTACTGCCTCCATCATGAGTTTGTTCTAAGGAAAGCATATTGTAAAACATAAAACAGTATGGACACATACACTGTTACTCTTACCTTCCCTTTGAATCTTGGCCCTTGGCTTCGCCTAAGTCTTAGGGCCTAAGATATTAGAGGACCATGAGAAGCCGTCAGTGATGGGTGCGTTCTTTTTTGGATGACTTTTGACCAGACATGGACAACTTGTTGAGGGTGAAATGGGATGGGGTTGCCTTCCATAATGATGGACCATTCGTTCCATCAAAGTATCTATAAGAGAATAAGAATTATCTGTTCTCCAGCAAGGGAGGAAGGAAATCTGATCAAATTTGCTTTTTAAAAATTAAATTTTTATTATTTTTAAAGATCTTCGATATCTCTCTCTTACCTCCCTTTCTCCTCCATTGAGAGAACAAGAAAAACAAAACCCCTTTTATAAACATTTATAGTCAAGTAAAACAAATTTTCATTGATCACGTGCAAAAAACAAAGTGTTTCACTCTGCCGTCCGTTTCTGTCACCTCTCAGGAGGTGGGCAGCATGTTTCATCTTTAATCCTCTGGAATGTGGTTGGTTATTGTGTTGATCAGAGTTCCCAAGTCTTTCCAAGTTATTTGTCTTTACGATAATGTTGTTGTCTGCTCACCTCACTCTTCATCAGTTCATGCAAGTCTTTCATTACTTCTTACAGTACAAGAGTACTCTTATCATATACCATAATTGGTTCAGTTATTCCCAGATTGATGGGCACCCCCTCAGTTTCCAATTCTTTACCACCACAAAAAGAACTGCTATAAATATTTTTGTCCACATGGTTTCAAATCCTTTTTTAAAAAGCTATTTAAAAGTTTGGACTTAACATTCATCTCACAACAGGGGATTGTGTAGGGCCTGCAGACCTGAGACTTTGAGCTCTGCTGGGGGATAGATTAGTTGAGTTTATTGGGCTGCTGGAGCCCAGATCCACCAAACCATTTTTCCAGAGCCATTGAACCTTAATGGTAAAATATCTGTCATCTTTTAGAACCTTGCTTAACATTGTTTGATGCCCTTTCCTCCTGCTCTATATGTAACCTCTTCAGAACTTATTATAAGTAATATCTCATGTTTAAATAGTACCTTAAGGTTTACAAGCACTTAGTAGCCTTTGTGAAATTTGGGGGAAGTGATTTTTTTTCAGAGTGACTTCTAATTATATCAATTCTAGTGACTTTATTCTAAGTTATGCGTGTTGTGGAGGTTGCCAGAGCTTTGTGGGAAAACTGTACGTTTTTGATTAGAGAAGTCCACCTCCTAAAATTGTTGCTCTATGAGTATCAAATTGCTTTATTTGAAATCTGATTATTCCCTGCCTAAGTGGATTTTTACAGATCCAAGCATTAGCTTTTCAGAGTCTTGCCCATACAGGAAATAACATGGTTTCTTTTGCTCTTTAGCTCTGCAGATATTTATCCTTGTCTCTTGAAGTACTGTTCCCTCTCCTGATGGAGCATAGTACTTTTGGCTGCATGCATTCTATTTTTGCTCTCACTGCAGGCAGTCTTCTCAAAGCCAGAAGTAACATTTCAAGTCTTTGGCTTGCTTTAGACTAGAGCACAGACAAGAAAATGGCTAGAATGTTATTGAGGAGGAAAAAGCGAATGGTTAAAGATAGGGAACTTGTGTCTTGGGGAAGTTTAAGGATCTTTGACATTGCAAGATCTAAAAAGGCTCTTCATCAAGGTGGAGAAGAATTGTTTTAGGTTATTGAAGGACAGCTCAGGATTCGATTAAACTTGAGAACACTGATTATAGGAAATTTATCTTCAACTTTATTTGAGCATTGAATCCTCTCACCATGGTAGGTATAATTTACTTCAACCATTTAAAACTGGGAGGAAGACCCTAGAGGAGGTCATACATTTGGGTCTCTGACTGGAGCTTGAAGCCCAGTTCTGTGCTTGCTTTCAGTTTAACTCTTCTCAATCCTTCCTCTCCCTCATCCACATTTTTTAAGCTTTTATTTAGTATTTTATTTTTCTACAGTTACATGTAAAAACAATTTTTAACATTCGTTTTTAAAACTTTGAGTTCCAAATTCTCTCTCTTCCTCCCTCCCTACCCCACTACCATTGAGAAGGCAAACAGTTCCATATAGGTTATACATTTGTAGTCATGCAAAATATTCATAATAGAGTGAAAGAAAACATAGACAAGAAAAAGAAACTCAAGAAAAATAAAGAAAGTAAAGGGGAAAAGTATGCTTCAATCTGTATTCAGACACCAACTGTTCTTTCTCTGGGGATTGGTAGCATTTTTCATCATAAGTCCCTCAGAGTTGTCTTGCATCATTGTATTGCTGAGAATAGCTAAGTCATTCACAGCCGATCATCTTACAATATTGCTGTTACTTTGTACATAGTACATTTCACTTTGCATCAGTTCATGCAAGTCTTTCCAGGTTTTTCAGAGAGCATCCTGCTTATCATTTCTCATAGTGCAAGAGTATTACATCATAATTAGGTACCACAATTTGTTCAGCCATTCCCCAGTTGATAAGCATCCATTCACCTTGTAATTCTTTACCCCCAGAAAAAGAGCTGCTATAAATATTTTTGTACATATAGGTCCTTTTTTTTTTTTGTTTTTTATCTCTCTCTCTCCTTTTTTTTTTTTTTTGCTAGGCAGTTGGGGTTAAGTGACTTGCACAAGGTCACACAGCTAGTAAGTGTCAAGTGTTTGGTCTGAGGCCGGATTTGAACTCAGGTCCTGTTGACTCCAAGGCTGGAGCTCTATCCACTGCACTACCTAGCTGCCCCTTTTATCTCTTTTGGGATACAGACCTAGTAGTGGTATTGGCAAGGTCAAAGGGTATGCATGGTTTTATAGCCCTTTGGGCATCGTTCCAATTTGCTCCACAGAATGGCTGAATCATTTCACGACCTCACCAACAGTGCATTAAAAGTCTCATTTGCCCCACATACCCTCCAACATTTGTCATTTACTTTTTCTGTCCTGTTAGCCAATCTAATAGGTATGAGGTAATACCGCAGAATTGTGTTAATTTGTATTTCTCCAATCAATAGTGAGTTAGAACTCTTTTTTTATATGCCTATAGATAGCTTTGATTACTTTATCTTAAAACTGATTGTATCTTTTGATCATTTATAGATTAAGGAATGGCTCTTATTTTTATAAATTTGACTCGGTCCTCTATGTGTTTGAGAAATGAGGCCTTTGGCAGAGAAACTTGCTTCAAATTTTTTTTCACAGTCACTCTTGCTAACTATTTCCCTCTCTCCTATTCCCGCCCCCCCTTATTCCTTATTCTGTTCTCTCTCCCTTCACCCTGTCCCTCCTCAAAAATGTTTTGCTTCTGACTACCTCCTCCCCCAATTTATCATCACCCTGCCCCCCTTCTTTTATCCCCTTCCCCTCCTACTTTCCTGTAGGGTAAGATAGATTTCTGTACCCGATTGAGTGTGTATGTTATTCCCTCTTTGAGCCAATTCTGATGAGAGTAAGGTTCACTCACTCCCCCTCACCTCCCCCCTCTTCCCTTCACTGCAAAAGCTTTTTCTTGCCTCTTTTATTTGAGATAATTTACTCCATTCTCCTTCTCCCTTTCTCTTTCTCCCAGTACACTCTACATTCTTTTCTCACCCCTTAATTTTACTTTTTAGATATCATCCCTTCATATTCAGCTCACCCTGTGCCCTCTGTCTATATATGCTCTTTCTAACTACCCTAATAATGAGAAAGGTCTTAGGAGTTACAAATATCAACCTCCCCGTGTAGACTCCTCTCACCCTGGTGCAACAGACCTTTCCTGCCAACCTTCCAAGTTGCTTTGGGCTGGAAATTTGTTTCACTCGTCTGTTTGTGGGTTCTGCTGCTCTAGAATTTGTTTAGAGCCATTTCTTTAAAGGCATTTGGAGGGTTTAGGGGAGAGCCCAGGTGAGTCCCTGCCTTTACTCCACCATCTTGGCTCGGCCCTCACCCACATTTTAAAGGTAGTAAAAATGAAGCATAGACAAGTAACTTGTCTACATTCACACCGAAGGTTAGTGGCAAAGCCTTGACTTGACCTCGGGCCTCCAGATGGTTGTTTTCCTGCTGTCCTGCAATGCCTTGTGGTGGAGCGAATGCAGTGCAAATGCGCCATTTGGCTTGTGCAGCTTGTTTCCTGGTGTTGTGTTAAAAACTCAGGTTCAGTTGATTAAGTGCAGAGTGGCCATGTTTGGATTGAAAAGGATTTGAAGGGGGATGGTGTTGTCTTTCCTACAGTAACTGGGCCTAGATTCCAGGTGGAATGCATGAGGGGTGAGGGCTGCTAAAGAAAACTCCATGGGTTTTCTTTCATCTCAGTTTCTTAATTACCTCCAAAGACCTGGTCACATGTATCTTTAGTCACAAATCTTCTGGAGACCAGCTTCGTCCATTTTCAGCATGTTGTCTCCTTTGCTCTTGGTACAAAAGCAGGCGATGTGTGCTTGGGAGTGGCATAAAGCCAATGGTCTTCCCCTTTTTTGGTGTCATGGACTCTTTGGCAGTCCGGATGTTTAAATGTATAAAATGCATAGGAATACAGTTATCAAGAAAAAATTTTTTTGGAAAGTTTGGACCCCAGGTTAAGCACTACTCCTCTAAGGTAGTAGTGCAGAATCTATAAACATACAAGATAATGAATGTCATTACTGTCATGAAGTAGCTTTCTTTTTAAATGGCTTCTTCACTTGAGTGTGGTGTCTGGTTTCTTTGTTCTTCCCAGATCCTTACATCTTTGAGTTGGGACTTTTTCCTGGTCACATAGTGAATTAGAACCAGGACGAGAACACAGATCATTAGACATTTTTTTTCCATTGCAGTGTGTTGCTTCTTTTGTCCTTGGATAAGTCCCTTAGCCTCTTTGGATCCAGTCCCTCATATGTTGAATGTTTGTGGGCATTTTGCATTATACACAGCTCAGATAAATGGGATGTTTTAAAATTGGACCAAAAATATTTTTTATTTAAAAAGTGTTTTGAGGCCAGCTTGAGGAAGGAGAGGTTAAGCAACCTTTCCCTGGTCACACAGTGAGTTGGCAGAACCAGGCCGAGAACCCAGATCACCATACTGGGGGTTTGCCACTGCAGTATGTTGTCTCTTCTGTCCTACATTCTCCTGTAGTCGTCATTTGTTGAGGATGTGCAGTGTTTGATGTTGTACCCATGTTCTATGGAAGAAAGAACCTGAATCGTATCATTCACCCCCTTCTCTCTCCCCAGAATAAAATGTAAATACTTCTGTTTGCCCTTCACAGCCCTTAACGTTGTCTCTCAAATCAGCCATTCTACTTGACAATAATTCTAATTGTTCGTTTTTCCTTATATCAAATTTAAATGACCACAACCTATCTTTCCAGACTTATTATGTGTATCATTCCCTCTCCTCTCCACAAATTGTACAGCCGAGCTGTTTATCCCCTGTGCTTAGAACAACACACTTCCCTCCTCGTCTTCACATCACAGAACACCTCACTTACAAGCATGAAACCCTTTTGGAGTCTCCCTCCCAAGCTGTTAGTACCTTCCCTTGTATTTATTTTGCATATACTTAGATATACCTGTTGTCTTTCCCAAATGAATATTATAATAATAATAGCTAGCATTTTTATAGCACTTTAAGATTCGTAAAACACTTTATAAAATTAACTCATTTTATTTTCACAGCCACCCTGGGAGCTGGGTGCTATTATTATTCCCATTTTTCAGCTGGGGAAACTGAGGCAGAGGGCAGTTAAGTGACATCTTCAGTGTTACACAGCTAGTAAGTATATGAGGCCAGATTTGAACTCGGGTCTTTCAGGCTCTAGGTCCAGTGCTCTGTCCATTGCACTACCGAGCTGCCACATAATCTCCTTGAAAGCAGGTATATTTCCTTTTTTGATCTTGCTGTCCTGGAACATGGCAACATTGCTGGTGCTTCCTAAATGCTTGTTTCTTGGAAATATCATCGCACTCTAGGGAGTGTTGAATGTGAGATATTCAGAGAAGCATAAACTGATGCAGTACGTGATGCAGAGTGAAGTATCCTGAAGCAGGAATAAAACAAAACAATAAATAGTGACTACAGTAATGTTCATTAAAGTAATAGGAAATGACACCCAAACTCCAAGAATAGATAGCAGAGCAAGTCTCCCACCTCTCAGATTTGGGGGACTGGAGGACAGAGTGTTGCATACCCTGTAATGGTGATGTTGTCGGTCTGACTTTGCTCAACAGTTTTCCTTTGTTACAAAGAAAGGGTTCGATGGGGCAGGGGTGAGGCATATTAGGAAATGACTGGTGTTTGGGGTTTTTTTTAAGGCATCAATAAAACGAACGTCTAAAATACTCCTCCCATCCAGGTAACTTGCATTCTTACCTTCCCCTTGATTCATTCGCTGATTCATCTGTGACTTCTGTCTCCTTTGTTCAAACCAGGGTTTGAACCAATCAAATAATTTTCTCTCTCTGGCTCCCACTTTGCTTTTCTGTAAAATAAGAGAAGTGAACTAAATGACGTCCAAGGTCCCTCCAATCCTACATCTGTGAGCCTGTGGTCTCTAATGCATCTCTAGTGCAAGTGTGAGGACCCCTTTTTAATGCCAAGGAATGGTAGATTTATGTGTATCTGTTGATTAGGAAAATACTGATTACAGAAACACCTGTGACTTCAGTGACATTTGAACTTAATACGTGTTAAATTCATCACAGTAACATTTACACACATTTGAAAAACAGTAGCATATGTGAACGTGAAACTTTGATGTAGTCTGCAGGAGGCATGTTATCGTATGTATGGATTTGGGAGTACTCTACAAAAACTGCAATCCACCGTTGGTTTAGCGTGCCCCTTCTCTGTTCTACTGGGCACAGGCGTCAGCGGGACCAGACTTGAGTTGGGGTGAGGAGGGTGGCTGAATTTGGCAAAAGTTGTGGATCAGGTGGACACAGAGGGTCAGATAAAAGAGCAGAAAGTCCGGAAGGGTCAGATGAATCGCGTGGGTGCAAGTAGGCAGATGTTAGGCCTTCAACGTCTCAAAGCTGGAAAGAGCCTCATAGGTTATCTAAAGCAGAGCTCTGCTGTGCCACCAAAGAATAAAGCGTCTCCACTGCTTGTCTCTGGTTCCGCCGTCGTCAGCCGAGTGGACTGAGCCCAGTCCTGTCCTGACAGTCCTTGCGATGCCTGAAGACGGAAGCTACGTCCCCCAGGTCTTCTCTGGTCCCTGGGCTCCACAGCTCCCTCCGCTCATCCTTAGATGACGCGGCTCTGAGTGCCCTCCGAGTGGCCTCCCCGTCCCCCCGTCACTCCCCTTGCATTCCTCTGTGTCCCAGCTCGTTCGCAGCGGTCCTAGAGCTTCGTCTAAATTGAGGCCAAAGAGAGGGTCCGTGAGGTCCCAGAATCTCAGAGTGAGGCTGTCTAGTCCAGCATGTATTGAATGAGCATGCCCTCTGCAACACTCCTGGCATCGTAGACCTCCGGCCCTTGCTCAAAGACGGAAGAGAAACCACTAGCTCCCAAATCGGCCTATTCTACTTGACAGTAATTCCAGTTGTTAGCCTTTCCTTATATCAAACGTAGATTTACAATTTTGTAACATCTACCTGTGGCTCCTGCTTTTACCCTTTGGGACCAAGCTGAACAAGTCTAATCCCTCTTCCACAGGGCAACCTTCAAAGATAAAACTACAGCTGTGGTGTCCCCTCAGAGTCTTTTTTTTCTACGAGGCAGGCATCTGTAGTTCTTCCAGCAGTCTTCTTATGGCCAGATTGCAGGACTTCAGTGTTCTGGATGCCTTCATACAGATGCTCTACGGCTTATCAGTGTCTTTCCTAAAATGGAGTGAATGCAAATGAACGCAATGGTACAGATGTTGTCTGACCGAGACAGAGTCCTGAAGGACCATTGCCTGCCTGGTCCTAGACACTGACTCTTTTAATACGGCCCAAGATTGCAAAACCCTAAGATTCAGAATTCATATAGTCAGCAAAAGCAACACCTGTTTGCGACACCCTGAGGCCGTAGGTGGTGGTTTTAATAGTAATAGCTAGCATTTATATAGCGCTTGCTATGTGCCAGACTCTTTGCTAAGCTTTTTATGACTATCATCTTATTTGATCCTTACAGCCCTAAAAGGTAGGTGCTTTTATTATCCCCATTTTACAGTAGAGGAAACCGAGGCAAACAAAGGTTAAATGATGTGTCCAGGGTCACATGGTGAGTAAGTGTCTGAGACCAAATTTGATTCAGGTTCTCCTGACTCCCTGAGCATTCTATCTGTATGAAACCCCCTGTTTGATGAAGGATCGGAGGTGATAGAATTACTGGAATATTCTGGTGCTGTCACCTTCTCTTCTCTAGCCTTCTGACTTGTCTTTACCTAGCCTTACCCCTGAAAAGGTGTTGGTATTCCATAAGGCATGCTGCAAAATAAGGGTAGAGAAGAGCCTGATAGATAGGAGCAGTAAGTGTGCTAAAGGTAAAGTGGTTCATCAGCATTACTTGGATTCTAGGGTAGGGATTTTGCCTGCTTTCTGTATGCTTGATAAATATAATTCATTGAATTAAATTCTTGTCACTTTGCAGTTGATTCACCTAGAGATCAAACCAGCAATCCGGAACCAGATTATCCGTGAACTCCAAGTCCTACATGAATGCAATTCTCCATACATCGTGGGTTTCTATGGTGCCTTTTATAGTGATGGAGAGATTAGCATCTGCATGGAGCACATGGTGAGTCCAACCCTGGGAAGGCTAGTGAATAAAAAAGAATGAATGGAAATCTTTAACGAGTATGTCAATGGCTTGTGGAAAAGCCATTGTTTAAGTAAGTTAGGAGAGGTGCTTCTGCCTGCTCTCTAATCTAAGAACTCCTTGGTTAATTTGGAAAATATAAAGTTAAGCAGACATGTTAAAAGCAGAAGTGGTCAGAACTAAAGCCCTTAGGAGGAAATGCCGAAGCAACACTCTCCCTACCTCCTCCCACACCCAACAGCCTGTCTTACTCTTCATCTGCCACTGAGGACAGCTGTGGAAGGCCTCTGGGGCTTGAGTGGCGTGATGATATTAGCTCACATTTCTTGAGCGCTTTATAATTTATGAAGCTTTTTATTCCTCTCAACCTTGTGGGGGAGGTGGTATTGTAGATATTATGATCCTGGTTTTACAGGGGAAGAGACTGAGGGTCAGAGAGGGTAAATATTTACTTCATTTTCACATAGCTTGTAAGTATTAGAGATGGAACCCAGAGCAGATTTCTGACTCCAAATCCAGCTTTGGTTAAGTTTTAAGAGTTATGTACAGTAATGTAACATTGTCTTTTTTTACAATGTTGGGGTAAGAAAGGCAGCATGATATTTCCTAAATTTATTTAGTCGTAAGACACTTTTGGGCTTGAACTATATTGGCAGAACCGATAAATAATTGTCTCACTTCCTTGTCTTCCTAAAGTCTGAATATACTGTGCAGGCCCTGGATGAAGCAGAGGTTGGAAATTTGGGGGCAAAATGGAAAAATTAAGCCTGTTTTCCTGTACTGAAAACTTGCTTGAATGTAAGAAGTATTTTTGATAGAAAGTAGTATGGCCTGGTAGAAAGAACAGGGGGTTTGGAGTCAGAGCAGTGCTTGTATTCCAGTACCAGGCTTTGCTCTCGATTACTTGTGACCCTGGGCAAGTCACTTAACTTCTGCAAAATAAGAAGCCTGGGCAAGGTGATACCAAAGGCCTTTTCCAGGTCTAAAGCAGATAATTTCCCATTTAGAATTTTAGAGGGTTTGAAATCTGTGGCACCAGATGCCCTCACCCAGTCCTAATCCATGTTGTATGCAAGACCAGTTCTATAGAACCCAGTTTGGGAACCAAGAGAGCGAAACAGAAACTAAAGCAGGAGTCAGGAGATGCGCTCTGCTCAGCAGTAGCTGTGTCACCTTGGGCAAGTCACTTCCTTCTTCTGGGTCTCAGCTTCCTGCTCGGTGAAAAATAGGACAGAACTAAATGATTTGGGGTCTCTTCTAATTGCAAAATTCTTTGAAATAATTTGAATACGTGTGTTGTAAAGCATTCATGGTATGTCATGCTTGTAATTCTTGTGAATTAGACCCCCCATTCTGTTTGTCTTTTTAAGTACTGATTAAGCATTTGTGTTTAAATAGTGCTTAATGCTTTGACAGGTTTGGTCTCTGGTGACAGCCTCCTCTTTCCCAGGGAATGTTGTCACACAACGTGGAAGTAATTGTTTTGTGGGAGATAGTTGTTCCGGGGATGTGCTTTTTATCTATCATCATCAGGCTCAAGCTTGCTTAGCCCTAAAAACTCTCATTATTAGCCCCTGAAACATTTGCTTTTCACTACCTTCCTTGCTAATGACAATGTTTACAGTTGAAAATTCCTGGGCCACTTACTTATAGGAATCGTATTTTGTACCTTTGCATTCTACCACTGATTCCTGCCCCCTTGTCTGCTTTTGGAATATGGTATGGGAGAATTGGTTTTCCTTCTCTACTGCTTTTCCCATGGCCCTGCTTAACTGGGCTGGACCAGGAATGAGTCATTTCAGGGCTGTTGTATAGATAGGTCTCCAGAAAAGGTTAGTGTGCAAAGTGACCTCAGTGTTCGGGGTTGCTGCTGACCGTTATTAATGGTAATGATAGGGACTGACACATAGAGCACTTCGCTTCCCTGTTGACAAAGTGCCTTACCTGCTGTATCTCATTTAAGACTCAGAATCCTGAGAAATAAGTTTTATTTTTCCCATTGTACAGATGAGAAGACTGAAGCTCATATACAGGAAGCACGTCATCTGAGGTCACATGATCAGATTTGTTCCCCACACTAACCTTAAGAACCAAGTAATTCAAACATTGTTTTCCCCAATTCACAGATATGGACACTGAATATTAGAGAAATGGAGCATGGCTAGTAAATGGGATTCTGGGGCTTGGCTCACTTCTCCTGGCCTCTTCCCACCTCTTGTATCACCTCCCTGGGTGTCAGTGGGACCCACCAGCAGTCCTGACTCAAGGACCTAGCTGCCTGGTGTGAGGAGCTAGCCAGGAGTGCAAGTAGAGCCTTTGGATGGGGCCTGGGTGGCTTCACAAGACTCTTAGCACAGTCTTTTTCACTCTTAAAGGAAATAGGACTAAAAACAATACACAACTGTCTGCCTTAGCCAAACCGGCCTTCCCTGAGCACCTCCAGCTCTAGGTTTTATTTGAGTTGGTTGTATTTTGGTCTTTTCATCCATACCCACACCCAGATATATTTCCCTGCCATTCTTGATAGCTTTTTTTTTTTTTAAGGCAGTTGGGCTTAAGTGACTTGCCCAGGGTCACACAACTAGTAAGTGTCAAGTGTTTGATCAGAGGCTACATTTGAACTCAGGTCCTCCTGACTTCGGGGCCGGCGCTCTATCCACTTCGCCGCCTAGCTGCCCTCTTGACAGCTTTTAAGGTCAAAAGAGAAATGTCATTTGTAAGTGTGGAGTATAGCTCTTTGAGGGTTTCGATGGTTTTTGCTTAACATAGTGCCCAACACAGAGTAGGCACTACTTAATAAGGGCCTGTATTCTGACTAACAGTTTTCTTGAAGTCTCTAAGTGTGGTTGTTATTATTTTTAAGTGATCCCCTTTCATAGATTTTTTCCATCGTAGATGTCTTAGGAGGAGCTTGATACAGGAGACTTAGACATTTTTTTCTGAACCTTTGATTTCATTGGTGTGGGAAACTCCCTCTACAGATGCAAATCAGCACATCTGTAACCAAATTTTTGAGAATTACATAGAGCACTGAGAATATTCATTGCATTGCCTGGGGTTATAAAGTTGGTATGTCAGAAGCAAGACTTGAACCCAGGTTTTTTGAACCCTTAGGTTGATTTTGTATGGACTATACCATACTGCCTCTCTAGAGTAAGAAAATCTCTCATTAATGTAACACTTGATGATTTACAGAGTACTTTCCCCACAGCCTAGGGAAGGTAGATACAGAATGAAGTAGGTAATCCGAAGAATTATCTCCCTTTTGTAAACAAAGAAATTGAGATTCTGAGCAGTGTTAGGTTTCTAACTACTTTGTATTTATTCTGTATATACTTATATATGTATTTTTTATGTCATTCTACAAATATTCCCTCCAAACACATATTAGGCACTTAATAAATACTTATTGATTAATTGAGGTAAGCTGACTTGTCCAAGGTCACACATCTGGTAAATATCAGAGGTGAATAGTAGAGCCAGGTCTCCTGACTCCAGGTCAATGCTCTTTCTGCTACACTCTGCTGTCTAACTAAAGCCTTGGATTTAAGTCCTGGCTTTGCTACTGACCTTGGGCATCTCAGCAGTCTTTTGTAAAATGCCAGTATGCTCTCTTTGGCCTTTGGTTTATTTTTTTTCTGCAGAATGAAGGAGTTGGACTAAATGATCCCTGTGGTTCCTTCCAGCTTTACCATTTTGTGATTCTGTAAAGAGGAGAAAGTTGCTGAAAGGGTGGGAGCTAGAGATCTTGGAAGTTGTAAGTTTTTAATAAACAAAATGTCCAATTCTCTGATAGACATGCTGTTGACCTGGATTCCTCGTGGAATGGAAATAGCCGGTGTGCTAGGGATGATGGGAAGGTTTCCCATGAAGGTGCCCGTGAGCCCTTGACACCTGTGGAGGCCGTGCAACAAAGTGCCGAGAGCCTGAGCCAAATGACCAGCAGCCTCGGTCCTGATAGGGGCTCCTTCATTAGCTTCCCAACCTCGCCGGGCCACTTAGCTGCTGCTTCTGGGACAGTTTTCATTTCTCCCACTTGGAAATAATATGACTGGCCTTACCCAACATAGGGGTCGTGAGGATCAGTTGAGATGATACATGTCAGCATATTTTGGAAAGTATTTCTGTACTGGGCAGATGCAAGGTGGTGGGCATGTGAGACATGCAGTTGTTTTATCATAACAATAGAAACAGTGCTTGGGTTCTCTAGAGTCTATCTTTGGCAAAGCTCCAAACAGTCACCCACCAGGCCTCATCTGCCTTTATACTCATTAATGATCTACGATTTTGTTAGGCTTTGAAGTTGGAAGGTACTGTGTAGATCATCCAGTTCAGTTCCCAGTTGTGGTTATTCTGTTACTGACAGAGCTATCTCCAATGACTCAGTAGCTGGGTCTTGTGAAGTGCTGTGATGGAAATAGTTGTCAATTGGCAGCCAGTTCTCTGGTGATGAGCATCCCTTCCCTTTAGCTAGGCTGGTCTAATGTGAAGGCAAGATAGTATGTCCATTTTACAAGGGGAGAAAAGGAAATACAGAAGGGAATGTATCTCTGTGCATAGAGCTAGGAAGGTGTAGTCAGGAAGAGATCCTGACCTTTCAGACAGCAGTTTCCTTTGGTGTGCCTTCTGTGAGGCTAAACCTCCTCCAGAAACATTGTCCTTAGTTCCCCTTTCCTCAAACCCCCAGCTTTTATGTGAGGCAGCATTGTTTAAAGAGCACTAGACTCAGGGTTATATCTGCATTAATGGTCAAGCTTTGCTTCTGACTATGTGACAACAATAATAAATACATATCACAAGCACTTTAAGGTTTACAAAGTACTTTTCTCCCAACAGCTGAGTGTGGTAGATACTACAGATATTGTTAACTCCATTCTACAGATGAAGAAACTGAAATTTCAGAAAGATTAAGTAACTTGCAGTCATACTGCTAGTAAGTTCATTGTAGGGATTTAAACCTGGACAGATAGAGAAAGGATGAGAAGGCCTCTTGGAAATCCTATGACTATGGCTTTCTTCTTACTACAAGTCTAGGACCCTTTCTGCTTTGCAGCACTGTCTCACCGATACATCTCATTGGGTTTGTGGTCTCATTGGCAGAGGTACTCATCATCCATACACACACACATTCTTTTCTGTAGTTCTTCCAGAGAGGATCTGCCCCTTTCAGATTCTTTTAGTATTTTGTGGATACTAGAATCCATATATTTATCCTTTACTTTAGTTGTGTGACTGGACGCCTCCTTTTTTGGTCCTTCATAGGATAATAATAATAGCTAACATTTATATAACACTAGGTGCCAGGCATTGTGCAAAACCCTTTATAGTTATTTTATTTGATCCTCATAACAACCCTGGGAGGTAGGTGCTACTATTGTTCTCATTTCACTGAGACAGACACAGGTTAAGTAATTTGCGAAGGGTCACACAGCTGGTAAGCGTCTAAGGCTACGTTTGAATCTCCTTGACTCTAGGCTCAGTGTTCTGTCCACTTGCTGTGCCACTTAGGATGATAGATATAGACTGGAAGAGACCCCCGAGGCCATTTACTTCAGTCTTCTGGGTTTATTGATGAGGAAACTGAGGCCTAATGAGGTTGAATGACTTGCCCAAGGTCATATAGGTAGGGTCTAAAATGGTATTTGAACTCAAGTCCTCTGACTCCAGAGCTTTATGTGACGTTGTAGTACTTAATCTATATTTGTTGAATTGAATTTTAATTCACCATGGGCAAGTTGTTCCATTTGTCTAACCTAGATTATCATCCATAAAATAATGATGATGACACTTGCATTCCCTGCCTTACAAGGATCCTATGAGGCAACATGTGTAGAATGGCAAGGAACAGTGAGGATGTTAGTGCTGCTGCTGCTGCCCTCACTACCACCTCCTCTGCCTCTATTGTATACAGAAGGCTGTTGGAGCTGGATGAATTCCTCCTACCAGCTTTTCATAAAGGTTTGGGAGAGGGACTGTTGGCCTTCCTCTTTCTGAGTTTACACCTGTTCTCATTCCAAGCCTGGCAGTCAGTAGCTAGTTTTCCACATTGCCCATATAGGACAGAGGCCAGTTTTTTCTGTTGCACTGCTTGTCTGTCTTAACATCTTCTAGTTGAGCTAACTACAATGTCAATGCTGTCCAAATGAACAGAATTCCCTGCCAGGTGCCAAAGCACTAGAGGAACATGGACGAAAATAAATGATGCCTAGGCCCGAGGAAGAACGAAGCTTCTCTGCTGGCATTGGTTTCTTCTCTTTCATGGTGCAAACATGTTTGTGTACATAGAGATCTTACAAGGGTGACAGACTAAAGGGGCCCTTCAATTTGCCAGTGTGTTTGGCCCTGAGTTGTTCATATTTCCTGTAGAGGAAGTGGAATAACACCTTACAGTGAACTGGGGAAATGCTTGATTTTTATGCTTGCCACTAAGGTGTTCCCTTGGGAAATTAAGGTTCAGTGTTGCCAAGCCAAAAGGGAAAAACACTGTAGCTGCTTCGTGGCTGTCTTGACAGGGACTTTTCTCTTTTCTTTTGGGGATTTAGGATGGAGGCTCTCTGGATCAAGTATTGAAAGAGGCCAAGAGAATTCCTGAAGAAATCTTGGGGAAAGTTAGCATTGCGGTAAGTATTTTCCTTTTCTGAGTTTTTGCAAATGGAATCTGACCTTTTAGGTTTTAGGCACTCCTGATCCCTGGAGGGGTTGTTAGGTGTTTAAACCCTGTATTTGTATTCTTTATGTTCCTCTCTATTAGTAGCATTCACTCTTAAATAGCAATGATTTGCATTGAATATCTATTCTCAATTTCATTCTTTCCATCTGGCAAAAATTGTAAGGCAGCTTGAATCTTTTGTATATATTTGTGTGATGGAAGAGTAAGATCATTGGATTTGGCATGTGGAGATTTGGATTCTCACTCTGGCTTTCTCCGTGACTAGGTCTTGGGCAAGTCATTGATCTTTTTGACCCTCAGTGTCCACATCTGTAAAACAAAAGTATTGAAGCAGATTGCTTTTAAGGTCTCTACTAGCTTTCTGATTTGTTGTTTAAAACACTAGATGGTACCTATAGGAAACCATTGCTGCCATCCTCTACCATAGCAGGGAGTCCTTGAAATTGTTGGGGTAAAAAGCTACACTTGACACTCTATGATTGATGGAACAGGATGCAGTGATATCAGGGAAGTATTTATGTGGAGACATTGGTTGGTGGAACAGGAGTGCTTGGTGACAGGGAATGTTACAGGCAAGCCACAGAAGAAAAGACATCCTGGCAGCTTGGAGTATTTCAAACTCAGAGGCTTCTTGCTCCTTTTCCCCAGCCTGTCTCTTCCCCACCCCCATCACCAGAAAAGCCTTTTATAGGAGGCAACAGGGATGAAAGACAGCTCAGGCTTTCTTCCTTCCATGTAGGATTTTAGAATACGTGGTCCTTGTTAGACTAATCTAGTGATTAGGGGGGAAGATTCCACAAAACCTGTTAATCCTTTCAGAACTCAGTAGCTTGTTGTACCCTCTTTCATTTTCTGAATACCATCATTTTGCTAAGCAGAATGTTAAAGCTGACCCAGTAGGTAATGCTCTTCAGTAATATCACTTTTTTCATCTTGATTGATCTGAATAATGAAGGGAGAAATGAGGATTCTTGGCTGCTTTTATAATGATCCTTCAATTTCAAGTATTTACTGACTACCTTCTATGTATACTTTGGGAAAAATAAATAACTGTGACACAGTTACTGCCTTCAAAGAGCTTGAAACTAGCACACTTACATGGTGGGGTAATGGCATTTTCTGATTAGGAAATTGTTGGTTCACAAGGCTCTGTCTGTAGAGCACACCTTAAAGGTAACCTTTGGTTATTCCATCTCTAACCCAGTATTATACTGTGTGGGGAGAATTTGGGCAAAGTGCCTGAGGGGGGTGGGAGGAAGTGATACAGAATTGAACAGGGCATAAAAGACAGACAGAGTCTCAGGGACAAGACAGTCATGCCATCAGGCTTTTGCTGCATGAATGATCTTACTTTGCCATTATTGTGAGTGGTTTTGGCACCAACATTTGGCCCAAACTGGCAATTTCCGAGGCTGCTTGGTTCCTGTAGACTTGTCATTTTGACCTCATCAAGTCTCTCCTGCACTGTATCACCTGAGTGAAAGGTACTGTTAACAGTGAGTGTTGGCTGAAGAGAGTTAGGCTGTCCCTGTTAGTGGGCCATCCCATCCCAGAGTCCACCTGGAGAAGAGTGCTGCATGTTGGGCCTGGGCAAAGTCCTCACTAATGGAGAAAATGTCCTGCTTCCACAGGCCAAGAGGCCTATGTGTTCATCTCTGGTGCCTCCTGCGCCAGAGGAGAGGCAGGGGGTAACATCATGGAAAGAGCACTGGGGTTAGAGTCAGAAGACCTGACTTTAGATCCTGTCTCTGCTACTTACGATTGATTGTGTTGCCTCATGCAGGGCATTCCTCATCTGTAAAATGAGGGGCTGCCCTAGGTTATCTTGAAGGGCTCTTCCAGCTCTAACTTGTGTGATGGGGTTGGTAGATACGTGTGACAGAAGAGGGAGAAGTCTGTTTTGGTATTTAGGAAGATTTGGGTTCAAGAATGCCCCAGAGAGCTCTAAGACTATAAATTGCAGATGAGTTGCCTTTTTGCATAGTGGAGGGAGTTTCCACATTAAGACTGCCATATACCAATGAAATCACAGGTCTGTACCTCTCCCTTTCTCCCTCCTCGAAACAGAAAGGGCAGCAATCTAATTTACCAGGCCTAAGAGCACTAGAGTTGCACAAAGTGATAGACCTATCGAGAGGAAAATCCTCTGCTCTTCTTAAGTCTGCCCTTCCCTCTGTGTTTCATAGGTTCTTCGGGGTTTGGCTTATCTAAGAGAGAAACACCAGATTATGCACAGAGGTAAGAAGGAAATGAAGCAGCCCTCTCTGAAACTTATCCTTAGGCTACATTTGGCAGCTGCTCTCAGATGCTGTTGCTAATATAATATCTTTGTCTTGATTCACTTTTAGATGTAAAACCTTCTAATATTTTGGTCAACACTCGGGGAGAGATCAAACTCTGTGACTTCGGAGTGAGTGGGCAACTCATTGACTCTATGGCAAATTCCTTTGTAGGAACCCGATCCTACATGTCTGTAAGTTTCTTTTGATTGATGCTTTCAGCAGATAGTTGTATGAAACACCTGTTTGTGCTAGATACTGTACTTATTGCTAGAAAAGCTAAAAGATTTAGATAAGCTGTAGTCCATGACCTCATGGAACTTACAGTCTGTTATGAAATAGGAAGACACAGGCTATAGATTTAGAGAGATTAGACAAACACAAATTAACTATGAAACATAAACAAAAAGGTGCAAGGGAGAGAAAGTTGTTACTGATGGAAGATCAGGGATGAGTTCATGGAGGAAATAGCATTTGAATTGGGCTTAATGATAGCTCATGTTTACATAACACTAGGAAATGAATCAGGGCAAGGAGAAAACATTGTAAGCAATAGGAACGTCACCAGCAAAAGTGTGGAAGAAAAAAGTGCAAGTTGTGTATTGGTGACAGTGAGTAGTCTGGCTTGTCTGGAGCATAGATTGAGCCAAACTTGAATGCTAAGCAAAGGAATTTACTCACTAGACAGTAAGGGAGCAGTTAAGTAGCTTTACCAGATAGAAATAAGTATTAATTCAGCCTGAATAGAAATCTTCCTAATTTGATCCTTTCTACCTTCTTCTTTTTTATTGAATACTTTTGGACAAAACATATTGATTATGTTTCCTCCAGCTTTCTTGTAATTCCTTTTCCTTGAGTTTCTGTTCTTTTTCACTACAATTCTGAGTTTTTTTCTCCTCCTACAATATTTTCACCCAACTTTAAATGCCTCCTTAGTCTCCTGTTTATAAATATCAAATAGAGACTAGAAGTTGTGATTGTTGATTTCTTTGTCTTTGCTTCAAGAACACTTGGGTAAACTAGTTTGGTGATCCAGGCCTTTACAAGTGGATTTCTTGCTAATTTTAACAATCTTTTTCTTTACCATTTAATATAGAACCACTTTGATAAATTGTTCAAAGACGGTCAAGCTACAAAATCTACTCTATGAGAAATGTGTGAGGCAAGCAGCATAACTTCCTTATGCCCTACCCAGGGGGTGTCTTATGTCTTACATAGTAAACTTTCAAGACCTCACTATTATTCTTCTTTCATTTCATTTCAATTAAATATCTAGTGTTCAGAGCACTCTGCGAGCATTAGGAAATCCACAGATGAGTAAGACACAATCCCTGTCCACATGGAGATGACTGTCCTGTATGGGTGTATGTTCTACATGCACCAATATCTGTCCTGCTGAATGGAACATGATAGTCCAGTTTGGCTGGAACTGGGATCAGGGGAGGACCAAGGAGGGAATGATCACTAGGGGCATTTGGGCTGGGTCCTTCTTGAAGGATGGGTAGGATGTCATTTAGTGGTTTGGGTAGTGGGCAAGGAGATGGGCAAGGCTTAGGCAAAGTTACAGAGCAGGGAGAGGGCAGGATGTGTTTCAGGAATCGTGAACAGTATAGTTTGGTTTAAGTGTCGTGTACTTAAGGGGAAAAGGGCAGAGTTGAACCTGGAAAAGTAAGGAACTCTACCTCCTAAAGTACCCAGCAACCTTTACCCTGTCTTATCCTGTTGTATTTTGTACATAGTGAATTTTCCAGGGTATGTAAGTTCTGGAGGGGGACGAAGCAGGGAGCATACTTTTCTTTGAATCTGTCATCCCTGAGAGTATAAAGGATTCTAAGCCTTAGAAGGGGCTCTAGTTGATAGGGAATTGAAATTTGTCTATCCCAGTGTGCCTGAAAGTAATTCTACCCCTGAGAATTAATTAACCCACAGGTAGTAGGGAAATTAAGGGTTTGGGAGTGAGAGAAGGAAGAATTGCTTTGTTTCTTTCACTTTGGTCTTTAATATTAGAAGATGGGGTTGTGGTTTGGAACAGGGTCGGTGCTAATTTTTCTGCTTATGTGATATTAAAGAGATTGAACAATGTTATAAAATACTGGAGCTTTCATCAGGAAAAAAAGAACCTGTCTTGCCACCTGATGGTTTCCAGCTCCATTTTCTCTCCACTAAGGCATTTTGTCTTTTTCTCAACTAACAGCCGGAGCGGTTACAAGGCACCCACTACTCAGTCCAGTCAGATATCTGGAGCATGGGCCTGTCCCTAGTAGAGCTGTCCATTGGACGGTATCCGATTCCCCCACCAGACTCCAAGGAACTAGAAGCGATATTTGGTCGGCCCATGGTCGATGGGGCAGAAGGAGAACCTCACAGCATCTCGCCACGGCCACGACCCCCAGGCCGCCCCATCAGTGGTATGGTCCAGGCCTTCAACCTTGGAAGGGTAGTGGAAAATGTGGGGAATGCCTCATTCAGGCAGTTAGCATTCAGTAACTATGATATTACTATGATATTAAAAGCAATCTGCTCGCTGAAGGGGTAAAAAGAACCAATTAGTATGGTCCTTGCCCTTGTATCTATTGCAGGGAAAAGACACACAAAGAGATCACTGTAATTCACCTTGTGTCAGTGCATTACAAAGGTACCGACACGGTCTGTCAGGCCCAGTGAGGAAGTGCCTTTATTTGTGGGGATGGGGAGGTGGGAGTCAATAAAGGCTTCATGAAGGGAGTGGGGTGAGGTGGGTTTTCCAGGATGAATAGCATTTCATCCTCTCCAAGAAGTAGAGGGAGAAATCCCAGGACTCAGGAGCCGCGTGGAAAGCCCAGAGCATTTTGGGGTCAGGTGTAGTTACTAGGTTGACTGCGGTGTAGAACATAGGGGTGGGTGGCTTGATTAGTTCAGGTGGTCCAAGTTTGTGGAAGGACTCGAGGGCCAGGCAGAAGAGTTTGAACTTGATTTGGTGAGCAGTAGAATGCTGCTGGGAAGAATGGATTGAAGCAGGGAGACAGCAGAAATGGGAAGGCGTAGAATAGGATTATGGGTTTAGTGCTTAAAGGGACCTGAGAGGCCCTAGAGTCCCCCCTTCTTGTTTTGGAGTAGCAGAGAGAGGTTGAGTAACTTGTCCAGTGCCATGCAGCTCTAAGTGTCTGAGGCAGCATTTGAACTAAGGTCTTCCTGACTCCAAGATCAGTGCTCTACCTTACTACATGTACGATCTATACATGTAGGGTCCCAAGGCAGTGGCATTGGGAGGAAGGGTCGTCACCAGAGGTGGAATTAGAGTTGATTAATAGGATTTGGTTGATTGAATATGGGAGGGGAAGGGAAGAGTCACAACTTTTAAGTCAGAGCATGGAGCCAGTTTCAATATTAAGGTTAGTTTGAGGTGCCACTAGTTGGAGGTAGACTTTTGAAGCTCAGTGAAGAGGTGTTGTGTCCTGGATCCCACTATGGTAGCATTGACAGTTTTCTGTTTCTGCATAGCGTTTGGCCCCATCCCTCAACTCCTTTGGTGTGATAGTTGAGAGATAGATGCATCAATAAAGATCAGCTTTCAGGACTCTGGGTAGCTACCCCCCCCCCCCCCCCATTAGATAGGAAAAGCAATGGTAGCTTCTCCCAGCAAGAACTTTGAGCTTGAGATGAGATTTCTTGGGAAGTTAAGAGACAGCTGAATCATTCCCAACCTAGTTGTACTTTGTCTAACTGTGTCTTTTGGCACCAATTTAGTTACCCTTGCTGGAGGGACCAGAAAGCTGTCTTTTTAGCCAGGCCATTTTTAAATAACCCCCAAAACGAAAGCTTGCTAGGAAAATGGGTAGCAGTCCATGAGGTGTAGAAACTCATGTTTCTGTAGCATCTCAAGATTTACCAGGCACTTTCCTCACAATTATCCTGTAAGAGTAGCAAATCACATTAGGCCTACTGTATGCATGAAAACATTGAGGTGATGATAAAGGCAGACTTGTTCAGGGGTCACACAGGCAGTACATGGAAGATGAGACTGATTATCTTGTGAGACTTGGGAAATCATCTCCACCGATTTGTTGTTATGTCTTTATTTGAACCAAAAGGGCAAGTGGTAAGGATGTTTAGTGCTATAGAGGCCATAGGAAAAGGGCCAGTTGAAAATATACCAAAGTAGACTTGACTTCGGTTTATATCCTCTCTCTACCACTTTTTATCTATGTGACTTCATTTATATGAGCCCACGTTTAATTTCATTCATTCATCAAGCAATTATTAAACACTTATGTCCAGGCCCTAGGAGCATAAAGAAGTGCAAAAAACCCTACAGTCCCTGCATGGTCAACTGTAAAATACTTATAATGTTAATTGTGTTGTCTGTCCCAGTCTTGTGAGAATAAAGTGAGAAAATGTTTCTAAAGCCCATTGTCAACTTTAAAACATTATGGAAATGTGAGCTACTCTCTGGAATAAAGAGAATTAGAACACAGCCCTAGGACATGACTGGAAAGTGTAGTTCTCACATAGGAGTTTGATCATCTGAGGGGATGGGCTTCAAGTCTAGATTTTTCTTGGTGTCAATGTCAGTCTTCCTCAGGAAACTCAAGATATTGTTAATGCATTTGGGACTTCATGTTCCCAACAGTCTTTTCCTTCAGGTTTAACATTTGCTTCTTCCTCATTTCTCCCAGCCCCCAATTCCTTTTTTTTTTCCTTTTCTTTTTTTTGGTGAGGCAATTGGAGTTAAGTGACTTGCCTGGAGTCACACAGCTAGGAAGTATTATGTGTCTGAGGATGGATTTGAACTCAGGTTCTCCTGACTACAAGGCCAGTGCTCTGTCCACTGCGTCACCTAACTGTCCCTCCAGCCCCTAATTCCGAATGGATTTTGTTCATGTTAAGACTCCCAGCTTTGCTTAGAGGCACCATGTCTGCTACCCCCTGATTCCCTGCCTACATCCCACTACGAGCCATTGACCCTCAGACTCCAGTGGCCTTCCCCACTGAACTTCTCTGACCAGTTCAGACCAGGAGGGAGAAAAGCAAGAACTGTGGCCCCTGTGGAGTGTCAGGTTTTGCTGGTAGTGTTGAGAATGGCAACTGCTGATGAACCCTGTTGGATTTCAGCAACACTAAGGGTCAGTTGCTTTGACCACGGAGCAGTTTGTTGCCCCTACTTGCAGTCAGCACCTCTTTCCAGTGTGCTAGAAGGAAAGGGCTTGTCACAAGAATTTTCTTGATCTGTAGTCAGTAGGACACTAAATGACTGGCTTCCTTAAAGTTGTGTGTGTGTGTGTGTGTGTGTGTGTGTGTGTACATTTCTACAAATACACAGAGTGTTGAAGTAGGAAGAGCACTAAATTTAGAGACCTAGATTTGAGTCTCAGCTCTACTGTATAACCTTGGGCAAGTCCCTTATCTTCTCTGGACTTCACTTTGTTCAACTGCAAAATGAAGAGTCTGGACCAGAAATGAAACTGCAGCAGTGTCAGAACCAGCTGAACAGCCAAAGGATCTTTCCTGTTTAGATCAGTTTGAGCTAACAGTGGGTGGAGAGTAAAGCTTGTTATGTGTTTAGCACAGGCCTGTCTTTGGTACCAAAATTGGGTGTGAACAGCTATAACCTTTTCTCTGTTTATAGGGCTTCATTGTTTTGCTTCTTTCTGCCCATCTCACAAGCAACCGTTTATCTCCTCTGCAGGTCATGGGATGGACAGTCGGCCTGCCATGGCCATCTTTGAGCTATTGGACTATATTGTTAATGAGGTTTGTATGCTCACTGAAATTTCCTTCCTTCATCTGAATTAAATCTATCTTGCTAGTGTCTAGTCTATTGCCCAAATAAACAGTGAACTAACCTATATTTTAATGTAGCTTTATTGAGACAGAAAATGATTTTGTATTCTTTACTACTAAACTGGCATGACGCTTTTCGGAGAAGGGCATATTTATAAGCCTAAGGTAAGAATTTCTCTAGTAATTTATTTTCTAGGTCACATTTCTAGAAATGATGTGCCATCTGAATTTATATCATAGAATTTAGAACCAGAAGGTCCTCATCCAACTGAATCTTAGGAACCCAGCCTCTTCTATAGATTATTCCAAAGTAGCAGCTTATCTGAGCATCTGGGAATCCAGTGTACATGAACTTCTCAGTAATTGCTTTTTCCCCAGAAGGATGGTCCTCGGGGAGAGGGCCTGAAAGTGAAGTGATTCACCTTCAGCAAATCATTGAAAGAGCTAAGAATAGATAGACCCCCTCTTCTTTCCCTGGACCAGTAGAACATGTCCTTTTCTGTTTTGTCTTGGGTGGATCTTTGCTTTGATTACATGAGAATGTCACGTGATGCTGATTGTGTCCCAGGACCCTTGTATCCTTAGGTATCTCTCCTGTGGCACTGGGCTTGGCTTAAGGTTGGTTACACAAAGCGAGAAGCAGGGAGGACAGTTTAGGGAGCAGATGACAACCGAGTCGAGTGGGGCTGCCATGACACATCTTTTCCTGCCTCTGGCAGTGACACCAAGAGCCAAGAGTGCACCCCTCAGGTCCACTGCCACCTCCACAGTTCTGGGACCAGTGCCCCTTCCCTGAACTTGGGAATCAGAGAGATGTAGGTAAATGAGAACAGAAGACTAGTCTGTAGGTTGAACCATAATGCTGCTTCTCTGTTTGCTTCCCACACCAGAACTTGACCTTATACTATTGGAGCTTTTACTTGTACCACTTTTAACCCCAACACTTTGTCCACCCAGTCAGGCATTCTGGGAGGGCCCTCCCTTATTAAAATGTATTGGCCCTTTTTTCTATCCAGACATATAGCATTCCTGTGATCAAAAGGACTTAAGTAATATTCCAAGGAGAGAAATCCTATGAAGCTCTAGTGAGATGGTTCGTGGCCCTTTTAAAACAATCAGAAAATTATAAAGCAATGTACAAATATTGTTATTACTAAACTTTTCATTAAAGGAAGAGACTGGCATATATTACATGTTTAGTGGGTGCAACCCTCCCTTTGGAAGGCTGTTGCAAGGGGAGAGCAGTTACCTAAACCATGAAGGAAGGATGATGGCCTCTTTCCTCATAGTAAATGACTCAAGGATGGGAACCAAAGGAAGCTACATGAAGGTTCAAGTTCAAGTGTGGTCTGGGGTACATTCTGTGCACCTTAGTGCCACTCGTCTGTCCTTTTCCAAGATATTGCTAAAGTTTTACTGTGATTGATGGAAACTGATCTGTTTTCTTCCCTAGCCTCCACCTAAGTTGCCGAATGTTGTTTTCACACAAGATTTCCAGGAGTTTGTAAATAAATGGTAAGTTCCACAAATCCATTTCATCAGCACGGTTTCCTTGTTAGGGCTAGGTGCCAGCTTGTCAGCCTGTCAGGCAGGCATCCTGTCTGTCCGCTGAGACCTGCCCACGATTCTTACCATTGACCCAGAAAGGGCAGTTGCTTCTGATTCTGGGATGGCTCTCTTACTTCCAGACAGCTCTAAACCTGCTAGCCAAGAGTCCTGTTGGGAGTTAGGGATTTGGTAAGATGCCTAGGTCTCTCTTCTCCCAGTTGCTTGAGGTCACGGTCATTTAACACTTTAACCAGAGCTTGAAGGCCTAGAGAATTCATGCTTTGAGTCCAGAGTCATCATCTGCACCTTAGAAATAACTGGTTTTATTTTGAAAATTTAGTGCAGTCTAAGAGACCTAAATGACAATTGAACTTATCCTGAAAGACCTATAATCCAGCATGTTCTAAAGAGGACACTTCTAAGGTTTCTTAGACAACAAGATTCTCAGTCCTTTTTCAGTCTTAGAGAATAACTAGCATTATTAAGTCCAGCTTAAAATTGTTGACTTGACCATAGTCATTTTTTTGGGCGGGGGCAGTTTCCTTGTAGGAGAATGCCTTTGGGGGATCAAGGAGTGATCATAATGATTGACTATTCAGGCAGAAGAAAGGGTTGACTTTATTTTTTAATGCAGCCCTGCAAATAATTTAGATTTTTATAAACCTATCCTCATTTTGAGAACTCTGCATAGTTTAACAGCAAAAATCATTACTTAATCTGAGCAATTGGGCCAGTAGCTTTTGCCTGGCATCTTACAGTTTGAATTTCAGCCACTTTCATTTGCTCTGTTGTTCTGAAAAGGTGGGTAAAGACAAATTAATGTGGTTATTTTCAGCTAAGCAACTTTGAGCGTAAAATTTTTACAATTAGGCAAGTTCTTATTTACCATTGTTTTGTCCTTTCTTTGAGCAGCTATTTGGAGTCTGTAGTCAGTTCTGCTTTTAGGGTAAAGCTTTCATTTTGTAACTGTGATACCCCATTTTGAGAAGAGAGTTATCATTAAAAATGTAGTTGAGGTTGTTAACTAAAGTTCCTGTCAGGACACAGGGTGGGAATTTCCCTCCCTTCTCCCCTCCCTCTCCCCCCTTCCGGGATCACTTCCTGTTTTCAGACCCTAGCCCTTCCCTGCCTTCAGGGGGTCCTGCCCTCCAAACCCTGGTAACATGCCGGGGCCCCTCACCCAAACACAGCTGCTGCAGAACAGGTTTTGTTCTTCGAGGTCAGGTTTCCTGATACACTAAATTCTAGGATAACACAGCTAAGTGAAAGTAGGTTTGGAAAGAATAACTGACCGGTCTTTTTTCTCCCTCTTTCTCTCAATTTCTCTCCTTTATAAAATACCAGCTTAATTAAAAACCCAGCCGAGAGGGCAGATCTGAAGATGCTGATGGTAGGTATCTGATTCATATTGGGGAGGAGGAATGGCAACTTTCACTGTTTTAGGATCGTAGTTCTTAATGGGCATAGAGTCTCCCCATTTGGTTCTTACCACTATCCTGGGGTATTTCTTTTCCTTGAGCAGAAGAGATCCAAGAGAAGTCAGGCTCTACCCTCTGACGGAAGCTTTTTATTGCATAGAAGCAGAAAGCCCAGTCAGACTCTTCACTTTTTTTCTCATCTTCAAACCAGGCATAATTCAGGCTAATTCCTTAGGATATGAGTCTAAAACCAAGGCCTGACTTTGAGAGTGTCCTTGTTCTGAAGGATGACGCCTGGATTAGTTGAGGAATTCACTGTATCTATGTTCTTTCGCCCTGGAGTAATCAAACTATTGGTCAGTGATATGATTTTGATTACTGGCAAAATTTCTAAATGTCTGTTTAAATGGACATAGTTTGTGAGCATTTCTAAAGGGAAACAGTTCTCATTAAGAGCCAGCTGAGGGTTGTTCAAGGACAGGTCATGACAAACTGACTTCCGAAGGATCAGCTGATCCAGTTAACAGTAGGCGGGAGTGATGAAGAGGCAGACGCAGACCCAGTGTTAAGGACAGCATAAAAAATTATAACTGTCCAAAACTCGATGCACCTCAGGGGTCATTGGGCTCCTTGTTACTGGAGAGCTTCAAGTTGAGGCTGAAATTAGTGAGGAGATTCCTCTTCTGGTATGGATTGGACAAGCTGCCCTCTGAGACGTGACTTAAGATCTCACAGCTAGGAAGGGCCCTGAGCCTGAGTTTTCAGACTAAGCCATTCATCTTTTTGCCTTACCTCAGTTTCTCCCTTTAAGCATTTTATAAAGTTAAGTTATCACAAGCATGCTTAGGGAGGTAAATATGTTCTTTGCCTTCCTTTTCCCTTTTTGTCTCCCCCTACAGAGGAGTCAGCTGAGGTCCAGTTAGTAGAATCAGCTTGGCCAGGCATTGGCATTCTCTGAAGGCCCTGTCCCTTTGATTAACCTTGGTGCTTATGTTCTTGGTAACCGTCTTCCCTCGATAGAACCTCTAGTATGAAGGTACCTGCTAATGTGACCCCTCCATGTTTAGCACCCATATTCCCATCAGCCTGGGAAGCTAGTCCTCATGGTGTTTGTGACACAAGCACCAGGTGTCCCCCATCTGCACCACCAAGTCCAGCTTCTTTTCGTTTCTGTTCTTTGCCAAATCCTGCCCATTTTATAGCTTGATATAGTGGAAAGAACACAGTTGAGTCAAGGGACGAAGGCTCCAGTCCCACTAAGTTTGGCGGTAGACATTCTGAGGCAAGTCATTGGTCCTTAGCGTTTCCATCTATGAAATGAAAGGAAAAATGTAGATTTTTTTTTTTCAGTTAAATTTTTTTTTCCTCTTTAGACTTCTCATTGTTGATGGTATTGAAGATGGGGGGTTAGAGGAGACCCTCAGTGCCCTAGTTGATTTTCTTAAGACTTAAATGACCAATGAATTTTTAGTCTGTGTCAGGCGAGGGTGTTTCCACTCCAGGAATTCCTTATACTGATGAAATAATCAGTCTGACAAAGAAAGAAAAAGGCAGAGAGACAGTCTTAGTTTGACCCCTTTGGGCCAAAGGTTTGTTAGATTTATTAATGTCTTTCGTTTGTTCTTTCAGAATCACACTTTTATCAAACGGTCAGAAGTGGAAGAAGTGGATTTTGCAGGCTGGTTATGTAAAACTCTGAGGTTGAACCAGCCCAGCACTCCCACACGCACTGCCATGTGATGGGGAAGCAGGCTGTCCTGTGTCCGTCGTCTGTCTCCCTGTCCATCACTGTTTCCTGCCCTTTGGGCTAAAGACAATCTCCTCCCCGGTTCCTTCTTCCCTCCCTACTCCTTGCCCCCACCCCCATCCTCCATCTCCCTTCCCCACTTCGACCCTGACCTGGACAACACCATCGCAGGAAATGTCTATTGCCCCTTATGAACAAGCCAAAACCAGCTTGCTTTATTTTGTTATTTCTCCTGCACGCCTACTCCAGTCCAGTGCAGCTCTTTCTCTCATATTTGGGAATTGTGGTGCTCCTGTTGTTCACTTAAGGTTTTTTAAAAAGGAAAAAAAGAGGCAGGGGAAGCAAACTTTGTACATCATGCTTGTCCTCCTTCATTGGGTGTTTGTCCTTCCTTTGAATCCACAGGTTGAGGGGCTTACAGAAGCCCAGCCCTAGAAGGTCTACAGATCGCTGGGTGGTAGAGCCAGACTGAAGGAGGACAAAGGGTGGAGTTTAGAGATCTGTGTAGCTTCTTTGAAAAGGAACAAGTGACATTGTAAATCCTTGGTGGTAGCTTGTTGAGCAGGCCAAAGAAAGGGCTTTGCCTGTTGGTTTTTAGTGGTCACCTACCCCCTGTGTTTCTGTCCTACCCTATGGTGGTTTTGATCATGTTACAAGGTGTCAGAATCAATGAAAATTATTTGAGTTAGAGATATAGCAAAACCCTATTCCCTCCTCTCCCCTTAGATCCTCTCTCTCCTCATTCAGGACCTGGCAGAAAGGTCTTTCCAGAAGATTGCCACTAACTTAAGCAGGTTGATGTTAGAGGGCTGCTTCACTCCACTTCTATTCCTTTAGGGAAAAAAGTTTTGACTTGATCTCCCCTTGGATGAGTTTATATCCAGCTTTCTAGAGAGGAAATGTCAGTGTGATTTATAAAAACCTAACCTCTACAGTAAATAAAAATGCATCCAAATTTTTAGCAGGTGTTCAGGAGCAGGTCTGGCTCCTTGACCTTTCCCAGCCCACCCTGACCCTGCTTCTCTTGCACAGCACACACAGGGACCTCAAATCATTCACATTCAGCCAGATGGAATTTAGATCTGCTGTAACTTGGGACCCAGCATGCCCTTCTTTACCCAGGCAAGATTGGTTTTATCTAGTCATAGTTAACCCTTTAAAAATCATCCTTTGAGTGTCAGAAATGTGATGCCTGGCCTCCCTGACGCAGTGAGAGGCAGAGTATTGAATGAACAAGAGATGCCACCACCCTTCCCTCGATGGCAGACCAACTTCTTCAGTGCTAAGTCACCCCTGAGGCAGCTTGTTTGGGAGCAGTGGACTGTGAGGGGTGTTTTCTGGGCTCTGATTCTTCCCTGAAGATGCTGAGGTCTGAGAGATTTGTTCCCTTCATTTCTTCCTAGCATAAGCCAATGTTAATCTGCCTGTGTACCAGTTGCATGCAAGTAGCTTTAAAAGAATGGTACTTGTCATGACCCAGGTGATCATCATTTGTGTGAAGAAAAGGAAGTGAATATTCCCAAGAATCCCTCTCCCCTTTTTTTTTTAAGTGGCTCAAAGTCGTTCTGTGTGCAGATTAGTTAAAGGAACTTTGGAACTGAAAAAGAGAAAGACTGGGTGAGGAAGAGATCTCAGTGGAAAAACGGGGAGCTCTCAGTGGGTAAATTTTGCAAAGAAACATTGAAATGTGATGTAAGCAAAAACTGTGTTACAGAGCCATTCAAAAGTAGAATGGACTGCCTCAGGACGCAATGAGTTCCTCATCCCTGAAGATCTTCATCCAAAGGCTGCACAGTTATCTGTTATATATGTTGTGGAGGGGATTCTTTTCAATTATGGGTTGGACTAGATACCACCTGAGGACGTTTGCAATCCTGTAATTCTGCAATTTTGGCCTCCTGGGTTAGAGCTCAGTGCTGTACTAGTCCCTCTGTGTAACCCCTGAACCTAGAGGGTAAACTCCTCAAGTGATGTCAGGCTTTAAATAACTAAGCACGTTGGCTCTGTGCCTACATACTTTCTGGGCCCTCCTCGGAAAACCAGCTTTACATCCCCCCCTGACCCATTCTCACGTTTTTCCCCCCCCCCCCCCCCCCCCCAGTAAACAAAGGAGAGGCTACTTTTATTCTTAATCTGATTCTGACCAGTAACTAGAACATTATTCTGATTTTTGTCCTTCAGGGACTGAAGCATATACAGTGTTGCGGGTTTTAAAAACAAACCTCTCCCATGTTCTCAAGCTTCTGTTGTGTAGGTAACCAGGCTCCCTTAGGAGCATCCCTCAGAGGGGACGCCTGATGTGTAGGACTGGTCTATGCATTATTAACACATGCTTGAGTTTCTCAGCCATGCCTTCTTTTAAGGGCATTGAGCTTTTCTCTCTCCCAAACAGAAGCGTCAGGAATTAGGGTTAAGAGCTAGGTGAGCCTGGGGCCTGAATACTGGCCTGTCCAGGCTTCCCAGGAGAAGCAGTATGATAGTGGAAAGAAGGCCAAGGGGCAGCTAGGTGGCACAATGGATAAAGCACAGGCCCTGAAGTCAGGAGGACCGGAGTTTAAATCTCTGGATACTGACCTAGTGTGATCTTGGGCGAGTCACTTAACCCCAATTGCCTCGCCCCCAAATGGGACCGAATTGATAAGTCTGATTTCAGGCTCACCATTGTGAACTGAAGTTATTCTAAATCCTATGAAGTTCTCTGGAAGGAAAGTGAGACTCTGCATTCCGTAGGCTCTGGATGAATAACAGCTCAAGCATCTACATCTGACCCTGTACTGTTGGTTAGGGCGTCCTGCTTTGCTGCTTATGCTTAGAATTCGAGCAGTGGAAGTGGCAGAACCTCCCCCGCCATGCCATCTACTGTAGCAGACTTCATTCTGGGGAGGAGGAGGTGGCCTGAGGTCTCAGATTCGGTTTTTCAGTCAATTTGGGTCTGACTTAAAACCTGAAGTACTGACCTGGCCAGGCAGGAACTGTGAGTCGTCCCTGGAGCCTTGGGGGAGAAGGGGTGCAGGGAGACCAGTTGGACACCAGAGACTTGTAGTGTGCAGTGAAGTGTGTATTTCATGGCAGCAGAATGATTATTACTCTTCTATTCCCTTCCCCTGTGGTGCCTCAGTTACCCCATCTGTAAAATGGGGATAATAATACTTGCACTACCTACCTCACAGGGTTGTTGTGGGGAAAGTGCTTTGTAACGCTTAAAGCACTATAGAAATGTGAGTTATTATTCCTGCCCCTATCCCCTCAAAAAAAAGATCCCCCAATTTTATTGTCCTTTAATCTGCAACTCCTAATTCTGTTAGATCTGTCAGAAAGGGAGGGGCTTTTAGTGGGGACAAATTGCTACTGGCGCATGGCTGTCTGAGATCCAAGAAGAGGCGTGGACTGTCCATTAACAGGTTGGCAAAGTGTGATAACTTAGCAAAGGGGTACCCTTTTTTGCCTTCTCATCCCCATCATGCTGCTGATTTTGTGATTCATATATGCTGGTGTGTGTGGTTTGTTTTTTAAGAAAATTATAATGGATTGTGCTTTTATTTTGTTTATTTAGTTTGCAGTGTTTCTAGCCCAGAAATCCTTTAACTTTGCCCAGGAATTTTAGGTAGACTGCAGTGCTAACTCAAGTCTTTGTAGAAGCTGGAAGACCTACTGTCTCTCCCACAGATCTGAATTCATTCCGGTTTCTTTTCCCCTCTTGAATGAGGTTACTTTTGCCCTCTCGTGAGAGCTTCAGCCTTTCCCGGACCCAAAGGACAGCGTTGTAGCTCTCTCTGTATTAAAGGCCCTGGGGAGATTCCACCCCAGGCACTCCAATCTGATGGACTTCTTAACCAGGAATTGGATGTTAAAACTGGTTAGTTTGGGGGAGGGGAAGAGGAAAGTGAGCTGTTAATCTCCCTAATTTGAGGATTCTTGACTTTAGACATTTCTGGGCTTAGAGATTGAATATCTTGTACAGACATGGGGTGGGGAGAGGTTTTTCTAAAATACGAATGAATCTGTGCAATTGCGTGATTGAAATGACTACTGGCGTCCAGGGTTGTATGGGTCTAAACACACCTGGGAATTCTGAAACTCACAACTAGTTGTGAGGATTTTATTTTAAAAATTAGGTCGGAAACTCCAGTCCTAAAACTGTAATATCTTGGGGTTGGTTCCACCCTACCCCGTAGTTGTTGGTATTTTTTGTGCTTGGTTTTGAAGGGGAAGGAGAAAGTATCAAACATTTTGTTGGTGCAAATTTTTTTTTAACTCGATATTTTCATCATAAATAAATGGCACTTTACATGATCAGATGTGGTTTCCTTTTAAGTCCCAAATGGATGGATAAGGTTTGGCAAGTGTCTGCCCCTAGTCTCATTTAAAATACGATTTCCTTGGTTTAGACCTTGGCAGAGGCTCAATGTAATGCCCAAACTGAAATGTCCCCATTTCAACTGTTTTTCCTTCCTTATTAATGTTGCTTGTACCCATGAACTTTGAAAGAATTACATGGTTTAATGAAGACACCACGAACCTCAGCCTTCTCCCAACCAATTGACAGCACCCTGTGAAGTTAGCATGAGGGGGTCAGTAATTGGCACGTTCAATTCCAGAAACGTGACAGTCTCCGGGAACAAGTGACATCTTGTACTTCCCAGTTACAGGAGGGAGCCCGATATAGTAGAAAACGTCTAGGCTTGGACTCGGAAAAGCCGCACTTTCAAGTTCTACGGTTTAAAGAAAATCAGAATTACCATTCTTGGTTGTGGTCCCATCAAGCCTCTTGTCCTCAGGTTCTTTGTTTGTGAGAGGGGCGGCTTCCAGCTCTTAACATTTGTATTCCAAGAGCTCGGCTCCTTTTGAATTGCAGTGACAATAGCCCTTTGAAGTTTCCATCCCTGTGAGGGAGGGAGTGTATTCTTATTTTATAGATGGGGAAACTAAAGATGAAGTGAAGTGACTTGGTCACTACAATTAGTAAATAGAAGAACGGGGATGTGAGTCCAGGTTGTTTGTTTGTTTTCACTTAAATCCAGGGTTCTTTGCACTGCCCTGAATTCCCTGCTTTGGATATTAATATCTAAGATGATGATGGAATTTAGAGCTGGAAGGGATTTGGAAGTCATTTAGTTCAATCTTCTGTTAACAGTTGAGGAAACAGGCCTAGAAGGGGGAGGAAACCCACCAGGTTACACAGGCAGTGAATGAAGGGCAGAGACCTAGGTCCTGAAACTCCAAATTTGCAGCTCTTTCCACTATACTACCTACTTTGCCTCCCTCTCTCTGGCTGAATTCTCTTTTCTGAGTTGGCTGAACATAAGATTGACATGAAAACTAGGGTGGGGCAGGGAAAAAAAAGGTCAGCAAGACCGGTGGGATGTTTTGAGGTTTTTAGATAGAAATCTGTTTCAGTGTGTTGTCATCACAGCATGGAAGCTGCTCGAGTCTGCCCCTTCCCCTACAAAGAAAAGGTAGCCAGGGAGAATCAGTGACTGAGGAGTCCCAGCTGGGTAAGTAACTACCCCTTAGAAGAACAAGGTCCCTGTAACCGGGAGGTAGCCATTGCCGCTGGGGCCGACCTAGATGGTGGCACAGGGTGAAGCTCTGTGTATCAAGAGCGTGGGAGAACCTGGACTGGAAATGGAGCTCGAAGGACCCTAGAAATGTCCACCCCTGGCATTTTACAGATGGGGAAACTGAGGCGGGGGGAACTTATTTGCCCACAGTTATAGTCACTGCTGTTCAGCTACAAGTTCTTATTTGTTTCCTGACTCCTAGTCCCGTGCACCAAGATGGTTACTGTAGAAAATCCTGACCCAGGGAATAGATTTCAAAAAGAATGGTTAGGAGAAGGCCTGGGGTTGGGGGGGAGGAAAGGGGAGAGTCAGAAGAGGGGAAGGAGGAAGGGGGGAGAGGGAGTGGTGGAGAGAGGAAGAGAGGGGGAGGGAGAGAGACAGGAGGAAGAAGAGAGCAGAGACTGGTATCCTGAGGGGGAAGATAGAGCATTCCAGCCTTTGGGTAAATTGTTAAGGACGCTTCAGACAGGTGACTTGCTCAAGATCTTCAGCCAGAATTCTAAGGAGACTGAGTAGGGTGTGCTCTGTAGACGCCTCACCAAATGCCTGCACTGCAGACAGGGACGTGAGTAGTAGTCATGGGCCCAAGTTTAATTAAGTTCCCGGGAAAGAAGTGGTAGGCTTTCCCAGAAGCCTGGCTAGTGGAGTGGGGAGGGGGAGGGCCAGGAGGAAGGGAGCTTAACTGCTGCGTGGGTCAAAGTGAAACTAACCCGCCCCACAATCGAGGTCTCAAGGCCCTGCTAGGGAGAGGCCAATTCAGTGTCGTTAGAGGTTTGAACACGGGATCAGAAGCTTCAGAACCAGAGCAAACATTACCGATCGCCTAATCCAGCCTCAGGACTGAGCCAGAGAATGCTAGAGCTGCTTGGTAACTGAGAAATCGGTGTTTTGCCCCTTCTCCCGATGAGCTAAGGTTCAGCTGAGAAATGACTTGTTCAAGGACACACATGCAGCGTAGAGCTCATCACTTTTGTTTACGTGACCCGAGGTGGCATTCGTGTTTGGCAACAGCCTAGGCCTTTGCTGGCATGACCTCGCATAAGCCAAGGCTCCTAGGGGAGGAAACGTCACTGGCTTCTTAGGGGACTAGGAGAGTGACACTGGGGATGGGCCGTGCTTGATTTAAGGGCTGATGGATACCTAACTTGAGCAGCAGGCCAGGTGGGTGGAAGGTGCTGCTAGGGCGAAGCTTCCAGTTCTGTAACTGTAATCCCCAGGGCAACAGGGTTGGGCCTAGGGGAAGGAGGGGCTTGGGAAGCAGGGGGCAGAGGGAGGGGCCCTGGGCCCAACAACCTACACTGGGAGACCAGAGTCCCCAGGGCAGGGGGACTGACTTCCAGATCAAATGAGCAGCAGCCATGTATTTCTGTAGCATTTTACAATTTAGACCTGGAAGAACCTTGGAGATCACCCCCTTCATTTTACATTTTACAAATACAAAAACAGGTCTAGGGAGAAGTGGCTTGTCCAAGGCCACACAGCTAATAAACAGGGAAGATGGCAGTAGAACCCAGGTTCTTTGACCCCAAGTCCAATGTGCTGCCCCATGGAATGTGAGAGCTGAAAGACACTCAATGAAACTGAATGTAGAATGTCAATTAGGAGAGGGTCCTTAGAACACAGAATGTTTGAGGTGGGGAGGACATTATCCTTATTTTACAGATGGAGAAATTGAGGTCCAGAGAGGTAAAGGGATTTGCCTAAGACTACAGAGAAATTACGGAAGCAGCTTGATGACTCAATGGATAGAGCACGGGGCCTGGAGTCAGAAAGACCTGAGTTTAAATCTGGTCTCAGCTATGCACTAGCTATATGACCCTGGACAAGTCATTTAACCTTTATTGCCTTAATCCACTGGAGAAAGAAATGGGAAACCACTTCAGTCTCTTTACCAGGAAAACCCCATACAGAGTTACCAAGAGTCAGACTGAACAACCAAACAACAGCAACGTTGAGAAATGAAGGCATTTCCCCACTCTCCAGAGGCTAGGGGTGATAAAAAGTCAGATCTTCTGGGCTATTGGAGAAGCGCAGACAGTTCAAAATAACTGTTTCAGAAGTCATTTCTCCTTGGTTTGGGAATGTGTTGTCCTTTCTTTGGTCAAATTACCTTTGTAATTGTGTTTTCAGTCTATCAACAAACAATAATAATAGCTAGCACTTATATAACACTTAAAATGTTTCAGATATCTATGTGTTACCTTGTTTTGATATGTACAAATGTTTCTTACACTTGTATTCATTTCTGTTTAACTTCCTTGACCTGTAACCAGGTACCCTGAAAAAATGAGCTGAGATCCTGGGAAACGGTCATACTCTGAGATCATAGAGCAACAAGATTAATTTAGCATTAGACCAAAACTTTAGAGTGACTCACCGTAAGAGATAGTGGCAGAAAGAAGGAAGTAAATAAGCTTTTATTAAGGACCTACTATGTACCAGCTGTGTGACCTTGGTAGGTCACTTCACCCAGTTTGCCTCAGTTTCCTTATTTGTAAAATGAGCTGGAGAAGGAAATGGCAAACTGCTCCAGTATCTTTGCCATGAAAACCCCTAATGGGGTCACAGAGATTCAGACATAACCAAAATGACTAAACAACAAAAATGTGCCATTTGCCATGCTAAGTGCTTAACAATTTTCTCATTTGGTCTTCGTAACAACTCTTCAAGGTAGGTGCTATTATGATCCCCATTTCACAGGTGAAGAAACTGAGGCAGAGACAGAGGTGAAGAGCTCAGGGCTACACAGCTAGTAAGTGTCTGAGGCCAGATGTGAACTTAGTTCTTCCTCACTCCAGGCCCAGCACTCTATCCAATGTGTCACCTAGCTGCCTCCAGTAGCATCTGGGCTAGGGGGTCAGGAAGTCTGGGAAACATAATTCTGCTATTTGTTGGCTCTATGACCTTGGGCAAATGCCATCTGCCTTCCCAGATGTCTTTTGCCACTATCTGTACATTCATATCTCTCTCTCTCTCTCTCTCTCTCTCTCTCTCTCTCTCTCTCTCTCTCTCTCTCTCTCTCTCACTCTCTCATTCTCTCATTGATGTAGCCCTCCTCAACGAGGGAAACTCCTTACATGCACAAGTAATGCCATTCTACTCACCTAGACTCTATACTTGGTGCCATCTTTCCATTTCTTATTCTCTTACCTGCCCTATCCAATCAGTTGCCAAGGCCTGTCAGTTCTACCTTTGTAACATCTCTTCTACACTCCCTTTCTGCTCTGACATTGCCACCACTCTGGTGCAGGCCCTCACCACCTCATACCTAGACTACTGCATTAGCCTGCCAGTGTACCTTCTCCAGCTTCATTCAGCCACCAAACTGATTTTCCTGAATCAAAGGTCCAACCATGTCACTCCCCTACTTTATAAACTCCACGGCTCCCTATGACCTTAGGATCAAATAGAAAATTCTCAATTGGCATTCAATGCCCTTTGTAATCTGCTACCTCTTACCTTCCCAGTCTTCTTCCACCTTCCACCTTCCCTGCCCCCTTCCCACGTACAACTGTGACCCAGGGATACTTGTACCTTCCTCTTCTTCACACAAGACACTCCATCTCCTGACTCTGGACAGTTTCTCTAACTGTCCATCATGCCTGGCATGCTCTTCCTCCTCATCTCCATCTCTTGGCTTCCCAGTCTTCTTTCAAGTCCCAGATAAAAACCCATCTTGTACAAGTAGCCTTTCCTGATCCTCCTTAATTCTAGTGCCTTTCCTCTGTTGAT